GGCGGCCGTTTGCTCGTCGTCGTCTATCCTCTTCATCTCTGGAACCATTTAAAAAAAAACTTAAAGTTTCTATGGAAAGCCGTACAGGTTTGTAAACACAAATTTGTTTGTCAGTTGTTATGTTTTTTGTGCAAAGATTAAGGACTTTACGACCTTCTTATCATCGAGAATAGCGGCGAATAATTCGAAAAAGTTGGAATTATTCACCGCTATTTTTCTGTAGATGAGATTCTTTGTGAATGTCCTTTATAAAAAACATCTTTATTGAACATGAAAACTTTTTCAGATCCTGTTTATGACTCTTCCATAAGAAATGTTGGAAACTTGGAACAAAATGTTGCCAACGCTAATAAAGTTGAAGAATGCACAGCACCAACCACTAGTAAATTTCGCGTGTGGGATTTCTTTTCTAGTTTGTTGGGAACTCGTGCAAACAAAAAATGATATTTGGAAATAATTCCATCTTCTAAATTTTGAGTCGCTGATTCATTAATTTACTTTATGTTTTTGATCGTAATATCACCATTGTTTGATTTATCTTTCACAATAACTTAGGAAATAAAAGTTATGCATAAATAGGTTTTATGCAGAAGTGCTTTCGTCAAAGATTTCTCAATTTCATATTTTTCAGTTTTAATGCTTGTTTCAAAAACATATGTTTTCGTTTTCGTATTGATATTGTAGGGAACTGCCAATGTTACTGCTCATTCCAGTAATGTGAAACCTTTGTTGTATATTTCAGTTTTTGTGGGTTTTTTTTTTTTTATGGGTGTGATTGTCATTTTGTAGAAGCTATAATCTTTTCCTGGTTGTTTGCTAGGATTTAAATTTTCAAGAAAAGAAAAATGAGGAGCAGTTTGCGTATATAGAATATAATACTTTTGCAAATTGTCAAGAAGTTAATTTTTTTTTTTTTTTTTTTTTTTTTTGTAAATTCGAGCTTTTAATTCTTGCTACACTGTTTTAAATAATTAACTGACTGGGTAAGCTACAGTCAGGTTTTTCAATGTATAATTTCCTTAGCAACGTAGTAAAAGAATGACCTTTACAACTGAATGTTATTTCTCGGATATATTTAATTTCAGCTCCGTGCGCTATATTTTTTTTAACTTTCTCCAGTTGTTTTGTTAGCATTTGCAGTGTAATCAAGGAAATCTCTGATCTCGATTTTGCTTCCAAAGGAAAGGAAAAAGACCATTGTAGAATTTTATTTCCGAAGTAGCATTATTACTTGCTTATAGGCTTTTTCTGTCTGGCAGTATTTGATTTTCAATATAATGCTTTTAACTTCACGATAAATTTGCAGTCATTTTTAGTTGCTGTCAAAACTGTTCGAACTTTTAATACAGTGCTCCTATCAAAGATCGTGTATTGCTTCTTGAGGAAGTTAGAATTTTTATTTAAAAACCTGTGGTTAAATGGAAGACGTCCTATCATAATTCCATTGAAATGGGAAATTATTTTGTGTTCGACATTGTGACTCTAGGAAATTTTTTTTGTTTTAACTTCCATTTTCAATTGATAAGGATTATTCCTAACAGACATGCCGCATATCTACTCTGCGTAATTAATTGCTGCAAATTACCTCGATCTCTTTTATTTGATCTGTACTTCTAAAAATTTATGTCACTACCGCTTCAGAGAAAACAATTACTTCCTTTTAGATGTATCGATTATTTATTAAAGCCGACTGAATACAAATAATTCTGGGTTAATTAGTTTGCTTTCTGATAGTATAGTTATTTTTTGAAAATAAGTTTTCCATATTATGAATAATATACGACTCAATACTCGTCAGCTCGCCACATAGCCATTCAAATCACAAGGACAGTAGACTAAAATCAGTTTAATCTCGAGGTAACGTTTTTCAGGAACTTTTCAGGGGACCTCTTATCTAAGCCGAACTCATCCTATATTTATATCTTTTTGTTTCGATTGGCATATATATCAAAATATCACGTCAAATAACAAAGCACTTTGCGTGAGAATCTACAAAACAACATAACGTCTGGGAAGTTTGCAAAACCAAATGAAATGTTTTTGTTTTCAATACAAGAAAGAAAGGGAAGAGAAAAACGCAACAAACATGGAAAAAGTACCAAAATAAAAAGATTAACATGTGTTGTAACGGAAATTGAATGAGATAGGGGGGAACAGAAGACAATTTGAGAGCAGAGGGCACGAGGCTAGCTAATACTTAGATATCACCTGTGACACAGTACAGTCGACTGCCGGTAGCCATCCCGAGATCGATTTTTCCTGATGCAACGCCCCCTTATTAGACGACTTCACTTGTAGTACGGGAGTTCTTGTTAACCTCACTTGTTACTAACCTCTTATTTTAAGTGTAATGATGATGAGAGCTTCTCTTAGGACTAGTTTGTCTCAGGGTCTGGAGTAACCATATGACAGTTAGCCGTCTAGGAAAGGAAGCTTGAATATTTTTTTCTCGAGAGGTGAAATATATGTTTAAAAATATTAGAAACTACCGAATATGTCGCATGTTGCGATGGATATCATTACCTTCTTTGCTTACTATGTGAATATTTTGAATGCTGATTACAGCTCGATTTGAAATCATTTCAACAATCATGTAAAGCAATGTGAACTAAATCTTCGGGACACTTAAGTGTAGACATATATAGAAAAGAGTAGCGCAACGGCGGATAACCGATAAGTTGCACGATGAATTTTTTCTTTGACAAGAATCAATATCACTATTTTAAGAGAGTAATTTTAATAGAAGCTTTCATCATCATGAAATTGAAAATAAGAGGTTAATAACGAGTGAGAAGGTTAACAAGAACTTCCTTACTACAAGTGAAGTCGTCTAATAAGGGGGCGCTGCATCAGGAAAAATCGATCTCGGGATGGCTACCCGCAACCGATTGTACTGGTGTCACAGGTGAACAGGTGATATCTAAGTATTAGCTAGCCTTGTGCCCTCTGCTCTCAAATTGTCTTCTGTTCCCCCCTATCTCATTCAATTTCCGTTACAACACATGTTAATCTTTTTATTTTGGTACTTTTTCCATGTTCGTTGCGTCTTTCTCTTCCCTTTCTTTCTTGTATTGAAAACAAAAACATTTCATTTGGTTTTGCAAACTTCCCAGACGTTATGTTATTTTGTAGATTCTCACGCAAAGTGCTTTGTTATTTGATATTTTGATATATATATATATATATATCAGTCGAAACAAACAGATAGGAACGTGATTACAACAAAGTCGAATGGAAGGCCTAGGCTTAGGATGAGTTCGGCTTAGACAAAGCAGTTTCTCTGAAAGGTTCCCGAAAAACCTCGAGAAGATTAAGCGAATCTGAGTGAAATTTTTATATAGCATAACTTTTTGACTGCTTTTAGATGACATCTATAATACGATATAGTCTTCCCTTTCGTATTCCTTTTGTCGCCTCGTATTTCCATTCCTACTTTGAATCTATATTAACATCACTTAAATCAAAGTCTTTAGGGTTAAGGACTATTTCTATTTCCGTTAATCAAATGTATCACATGAAGATACTTGCTTTCGTCGTTTTGCTCGTAACAGTTTTGAGTTATTACTACGAGATTAAAGATCTCTTATAATGGCATAAATTTACACAATAAAATCAATTTTGCAAAGTATTTCAGTATTCCGTGTATTAAATATTTATTCATATACTTAAGGAATCTTTAACAAAATAATGGATTCAGAAAAGAGAAATTTAGACGTTTGATAGTATGACATTTACTCAATTTCCGAATTGAAATTTAATGAAGTTTTCCTCTTTTCGTTTAAAATTTCGAATTGTATTTGGTTGAAATCTGTTAATGAAGAAATACAAGTTAAAATTTAAATGGTTGAAATAGAATAATGATAAGCCTAACTAAGACTGCCATTTTGTGCAGTTGTGAACTTTCTGAAAATGAAGTATTAACCTCCTTTATCTTTGTTTAGTAGTTTTTTTCTTTAACCGAATAGGCTAGTCTTAATATTTTTGGAAGCAAAAGGTTTTAGTCACAAAGTATGTACTTTATTTTTATACTTTCTAGTTGGGAAGAATTGTGTTATTCACTCCATCTGTAATTGCTCATTTTTTATAACTCTTCCAACAATTTTAGCTCTTTTAGTAATAAGAATAAAAAAAAATAAATTTTAGCTCTTTTAGTAGTAATAAGAATAAAAAAAAAATTTTAGCTCTTTTAGTAATAAGAATAAAAAAAAAACAGTTGTGTTGAAATAGTAATTTTTTGTAATTTGTAGGAAGTATCGTTCAAGTAAAAAGTTACTATTAAAATTATATAGAAATAGAAACAGCGATGGCTATTTTCTTAAATGAAATTTCATCTTGAAGATACAAAAACATCGAATTTTTATTGATGAAAATTTCCAAATGAAATGTTCAGTGTAAGTCAGTGCTGAAACTGACTAAACCAAGACTGATATTCTCTTTCATTCTTTACAGTAATTTTTGTAATTTCTAAGCTCAGATATTGCAGCGGTTTATGTGATTTGACTGTCAGTTTGCTATGATAATATGTAGTACAGAAGCATCCATTGATAAGGTGATAATGGATGGTTATTCAAGTTATCATACGGATTTTTTACTAGAATGCTTGTTTAGCATTTCGCATTCGTCAGACTGTAGGACGCAGGGATTTCTAACAGCAAAGAATTCGTGAAACAATCTATTGCTTTGAGAAGGCGTATTGGTATAATCGGTGAGTAAAAAAGTCATTTATTTATTGTGTTATATTCTTTTAAGACATACTAAAATATAAAATGAAAAGTAGCTCAAATTATGTTACCTTTCATCAAGTTACAACTGATGTTGTAAACTTTCCATAAATCATGAATTCTAATATTACTTAGTGAAATTAAATATTCAAATGTTTAAAAATTTCATGTAGGGATGCTTTCTTGAAGCACCTTGGGTGCAGTGAAAGATTTCCACACTGAAATAAATTGGGAGAAATATTTAAATTGATTCAAATTGATGTAATGTGCATCTTCAGAATGCCAAGCAGGCCGATGGAACGCTTTCTAACACGGCGTTCGATATCTATTGTTACGGGCAGTTTGGCATTCATTGTTATGTATTGGTACATAAGGCGACAGCGAAGGTTGAAACGGTCTGCAAGGTTATCATTTATCTAGCTAATATGTGTTGGGCGCTTCTGTCTAGTTAAAAATTAAAGCATAAAATAAGCTGCAAATCCTGCAAATTTTCTTCATTATATTTCTTGTGTATAGCTTGCTTTATAAGGAAGCATTGATTCAGATGCGATAAATTTAGCTTGTCAAAATTCCATACTTCTCAAAAAAAGGGAAAGAATTGTGACTTTATAATTATAGCTTTTCTTACTTCTAAACTTTTCTTATTTTAGTGAAAACATAAATAGAAAAGTGAGTGCAAAGTCATGCAGTCAGAAGAATTTTGACGATCTGAAAGAGAGCAAATCAAGTTCAAAGAAAAATGTAGCGTTAGCAGTGAAGTTGAATGACGATGTGATGTCGGGCGATAACGCTGGAGATGCTGGGATGGATGATAACCAGTTTGAAAGGCAGCTCAATGATGACCTGTTAATTGCCGAGTTGGATAATGATGTGATACATGCAAATGATATTCCTGTTTTAGAAGTCTCAACTAATAGTTTATCAGAATCAGAGAAAACTCCAGTTGATAGCTTACCTTGTGCAAATAAGGTTTTGGTAAGTTTTGACTTTATTCATTTAAAACAAATTGCTTTTTTACTAATCTTGAAAAGAATTAATGTTTATATTATTGAGCCTAACTACGTAAAACAGTTCTGCATAGCTTTGTTTTTCTGCGTATCCCCCCAGTAGCACTGTCCGAACTGTTGATGAGTCATGGATAAAATCGTTAATATCATAAATACTCATCTGTTTTATCATAAACACGGATTTCTTTCCTGTAGATGGTATATAATTAATATATAACAGCATTCATTTTGGAATGGAAAAGACAAGCATTTTGGTTATCGCTATAAGAACTCTCACTAAAGGGGAAAAAACTTTCTATGTAATGAATTACGAATATATTATATCTGGGAACTTTTTATTAGTTCTCATCAGTCATTTTTGACGTCATGTATTTTGCAAAAATTAGTTGGTATATCAAATATCACAATTCTTTTTTTCACATACCTTTCATTGTAAAAAATATTTTTTACTTTAATGGCTATTTTTGTAGTTAGATCACACTGAGCATGATTGGCTTGCCAAATGAAATTAAGTGTTGTGTAATGTCGCATAACAGATTTACCATTTACGAAAAATATACTCTTAATTATAAATAACTATATTGTATTATTCGATTGCTAACCTTTGCATTGAAGAAAAAAAAAACTATTGCTTAGTATTCCTTACCAACAGGTCCAAATTTTTTAGATCATCTGGATACAAGTATAAATTGGAATAGACTAAGCAATAAACAGTCCTTGCTTGTGAAGTATCCTACATTTGTTCACTTGCTGTGAACAATTTTCAATCTATTATTATATTTTCTGAATTTGTGCAGTTGAATAAAAATATGAAGTGCCAACATTGAAGTTGATAATGTTTCAACTCATAAGAAATCAGCATTTAGATACATTATAACGCGGTATTCTTCCTTTTTGCTTTCAGTGCATTTAGAAATTACAAAATTTTTGGTTTTTCTTTTTTAAGAAATTCTTCACTTTTAGGTCGCTAATGAAGAAAAAACTGTGGAATATTCCTCGATTTGGATGGAATCTAAAGCTAAAGTAGGAAATATTTATATTACGAGAAATGCAGCCGACAGACAAAATGCTGATCCGAACATTGTAGAATACAGGCCTTTAAACACATCGAGTAGTGAGGTTCACATTTTTAATTAGTGGAATTCGTGAATTACTGAAGCTTAGAATTGTTATGCTTCTTTTGGGTTCACGATACTGTGATAATTATTGGTATTGCAGCAGTATAACCATTTAAGTTATAATTCTAGCGGAAGTTCAACTCTAATTTTATTAATTAAAAATTTCTTTATTTCTCGAAAAATTTTCAGTTTATCAGAAGAAAAACTTTTCCTGCCACAGAGATATTTCTTGTCAAAAATTCATTGTTATTTCTTTAAAAGTTTTAAAATGAAAGAATTTTTTGAAGTAACAAATTCGGAATTACTTAATTCTTGTTCCTCACAACAGCTTTTTGCCTTAAAGAATATGGATGACGATGAGGTTCTCTTTTCCCTTTACCAATTAATTTCTACTTTATTCGCACCTCGGCATATCTTTTTTTATGTCATTGCTTTGATTATGTCAAGATTTTGAATATCTGTTCTATTTATAATTTTAGAGCTGGGACTTTTGTCATCCGTTGAAATTTGGATCTGATAATATCTATTCCTTAATTCTGTTTGAATTCTTCTAGTTAATTTTTTAAGAAGCAGAATTACAGTCTTCCTATTCTTTCACTTTAAACAATCATTATTTTCTGGAGTACTTGACTCACTAATTTTTTTCAATGATTTTTTCGCGTAATCAGTGTTTTTTATTTGGTACACCTGCAAATCATGTTATAGCTTTTTTTTTTCACCTCACTATCTTTTAATTTAAAGGAGAAGCTTCTTTCAAATTAGCTGAAAAGTTTTTCTGGTATAGTTCCACAGAGTTTCATATGAGCAAACTCTTTTGAATTCATGTTTTTGGAATAAGATCACGTTCTTTTCCATCAAAATCCAACTTTACTATTTCTTTCGGTTTTATTAGTGGGATAATTGAGCAATATCAAACGGCGAAAATAATGTATGCATCCCAAGCAATTATAAGACAATATCACATATCAGTAGCCAAAGATTCAGCGATCTGAGCGGGTTAATTTAAGTAAATGGATGAAAAATGGAAATTGTGACTTCCAGTATCTGTAATACAAGTAATAGTATTTTTGATTAATCCAGTTATTTTGGCTTCCGTACTCTTTCATTCGTATTATCTAGGGAAAAAAAGAATTGCTATGACTTGTCCCTGTCTTTATATTTATTAAATTTGTTGACCATTCAACGTTATGAGGCGCAACATGAACTTTTTCTCTATTGCTTTTTTGTTTCTTAGTATACATAGCTGTTTTTCAAATGCGTTAAAAGTAATTCATGTGTTGGATAAAGTTTGTCCTTATGGTTTCCCCCATGTATCTTTGCAGGAAATTCGTAGGTAACAGCTTGAAGAACACTAATATTTATTTATTTTCGCCAACAGTGATCATGCTTCAAACAGATTGCCAACAAAGATAAGACTTTGTAATTCATATGAGCCCTGATTCAAATTATAATAAAGAACAAGGAAGGATGAATGGACGCAAAGAAAATCACTCTTCAAGTGTACTTGTAGGGTTTCCAGGTTACCTTTACTTCTCTGTATCATTTGTTACATATGGGTGATCATAGTCGAAAAATGTTTTATATTTTCATAGAGTCATATGCACAGGTCGTTGTGAGACGCTCTTTCTTCCTTTGTAAACTGCTTACTGTTGTTAATATTAATCGTTTTTATTCGTTTTTTTTTTTTTTTTTTTTTTTTTTTGCTTTCTCAATTCTGTCCTAGTTTCGTCGAGGAAAGAGAAATAATTTATTTTTTAAATAATATAAATATACTCATAAGTATTGCTGATTGAAAACCATACGACTACCTGCGAAACATATTTGTAATCAGATTTTTTTTTTTTCATCTTACAAGTTATTTTATTAAGTGTTCTTAACGGAATAGTTTATAATACGTAAAGAACTCATTTTTTTCATGGGGAATTCTACCAGTTTCGTTTTTTAGTTTTAAGAAGTTTTTTTCTTGTGAGAATTTTTTTTAATGCAAATTTATTCTTTGCCAGGAAATCTGAAATTTTTTTTCGTACTGCAAAACCTACACAAATGTATAGTCTAGGCCACAGCTACTTTCTCGTTAATCAGAAATAGCGAAGAAGTGTAAAATCAGAATTTGTGAAGTTTTGAAGAATCGGATTTAAATTTCAATTATAGAATCACTTGCTCTATTTTTCAGTACGCTTCCACTTATTCCTATAGGAGTCATTTATATTAATCTTCGTTTCATATAACATATTTCAGCTATGATAACGTTATGGTTATTTTTAGGAAGAGAAATATAACAACATCTACATAAGACGGAAATTTTGCAGAAAAATTTGAAAATTTTTCCATTTACTTGTCCTGCTTCCTGTATCTATCCATCGGTGAGTAGTCTATATTGTATGCTTGTGTAATTGCAGCTGGTGAATAGTTGCCTGTCTACATCCTTCCGTCGCTATGTTTCATATGGATGTCATTCCTATCCCTTGTTTCATCCATTCACTTCATCGCTTCATGACAGTAACAAATGTGCACAGAAAAGTGGTGACAATAGCAGTAGATTGGAGTGAAGGTGAAACTGAATGTGGCGTTTTGTGCGTGGGACAAGACAGTTTGCCAAAATGATACACATTCTTCTGTTCTGAACTCAGCTTGTCGCAGTACTGTCAATTCGAGAATGGTTTGGAGAGCATACTCTATGTTACAAGATGGGGAGTTTGGCACTGTGCCACTACCATGCCACATGCCAAATGACATGTAGCTGTCTTTCCCGACACTCTTACAAAGTGGGTGAGAGCAACGAGAGAGCGTGTGTCGTAAGTAGGGAGTGAGAGAGAAGTGGTGCACGTGGATGTGTGCTGAATGAAAGAGTGTCATCATATGTTGTCAACTTCCAGCTGATCTTCGCTCTTCGCCATTTCCTCACGCGTATCTCTGCGCTGTCGCCTGTGTCTGTCTGTTCGTATCGCAATATACACACACACACACACACACACACATGTATCCATCAGAGGGCGTCCCCTCTCTCCGCTCGTCACCTCGTCCCCTACTTGTTCAGCGTTATATTGCATAATAGTGTGTGATGTGTGATATATGCTGCTATCATCGCATTGTTACGTTGCAGTTTCCGTATGTCTGTCTTGTATCATTGATGCATCACAAAAGGTGTGCGGAGGAGGGGTGTGGGACTTTCTTGGTTAGACTTTGGTCCCATCGATACTTGAACATTTTGGGGAGTTTTATTTTATGCTACTTTCACCACTCTAAGTATTATTTGCAGGTTTTTGTGACTGTTGCTTTTGCCCTGAGAGGGCTTACGGTTATCACTTTCGGATTCTGTCACGTCGTGTTTCCGGTTCCATTTCCGGAAATTTACCGAGGCATCCTTATTCCTTTGCTTTTGAATTGTTGCTCTCTTCACAGACGAAAGAACTATTGAAGTCGCTGCGCGTTAGTGCTGTTGCCTTCCCAACGTACGGAATGGATCAGGTGGTTATCACAGCCACATCAACTACCTCGCTTAGTACAAGATTTCAAAGTGGTAACATCTACCACTACCCAAATACCGTTTATCCACCACTTAGGTCCTCTTACTTGGATTCCGAGAAATCATGGCTATCGAATCTCCATATGGATTGTTTCATCTCACCGCCAGCTGCTGTTAGCTCGGCGGCACCTGCAACAACGGCACAGATTTCACCGTCACCGCTTATTCCAGCATCATTATTCCATCCTCTCCAAAATATTCCTTTTAGTCTGTCCGTGATGATGCAGCGCCCACCCACCACAGTATCCAGTGTTAGCAACTGTACATCCAAAACCTTATCTGGTTCCGGACGGTCCAGTGCATCGTTAAATGCTGACGTTGTCCCATCTTCTACCTGGGTCGGTTTGTTTCCTTGGCTTTTTTATAAAACATTCATGGATATGTGTGCTATCAAATCCGTTCATGTTTTTAAGATTGCTTCTAAAATTTTATTCATTTTTTTTATTTCCGTCCTAAAATTTCGTCTCCTCTTTTCTCTAAATAGTCATTCATGAAATACGCATTTTGCTCTTCTTTGTGATTAACGACATTTCAATGTAAGGATAGATGACATTTTAATAGAACGATTTTTCGGTCATATATTTCCACAGCTCTTTGATTTGATTACCTTACGTTACTATCGTTTCATACGGGAAGATTGACTAATGTAGACAGTCATTTATCTTTTGTAGGTTTTCAACTCTCTTTTTTCTGTCACAGTCATTAATTTTCCTGCCCGTTTACAAATTTTCAAATTTCTCTGTAACTGATCACTTAGTAATTCGATAATACTATCATTGTGAATTCTTAATAATACATATAGCGCATTATTAATTTAACTAAAGTAGTCAGAAGTGGAGGTAGTTTGGTATTTTGGTGTTTGCCGTTTTTCCAAGCAAATATTTAGATCATTTTCCAAGTTTTCAAAGCAGGCAAGAACTGTAATCTAGCACGTTTCTTTTGACTTAGAATTCCATACTTCCAAGTTTATAATTTTGGTCATAAAATTTATTACTTGTAGGGATCGCAAGATAGTGGACGAGCAACAGGAGGTTTGGCTTCGTCATTAAGTCCGGCTGATGATGCAGCACCACGAGAAAGCCCCGAAGTGCGGTCTGTTTATGAGTTTGAGATACCTAATACATTAGTTGGATTAATCATTGGTATCAAGGGCAAAACTATAAAGGTTTTTATTCATTCATTTGAATGTTGCATGTTAAGGCTTTGAATAAAAAAGTTCGCTGCTGTTAATTGTTTTCAAATAATTATATTTGTTTATGTAACGCACTGAATGCATCCAAGATTTTTGTTGATTGTCCATATACTTTTCTTTTTTCTCTTTAAATGATTGAATTTAATAAATGTTATTTAACTTTGATAAACTAAATGGAATACGTATTCAAACAGTTGAAGAAAACACTTCATGTCCCTCTAAAACTCACTAAATAGTTTCGCTTCTTTACTTCGTGTTTATTTTTCTCATAGTATTTTTATTCCTCTTTCTTTTTCTTTTTTTTTTTTTTGTGTGTCTGTCGTGATTTTCCTAGAAATGTTTGTTTTCAGGAATTGTGTCTCCGTACAGAAGTGAAAATGATTATCAGACCCCACCATACACCATCAAAGGTAAACTTTTCTTTTTCTTCTAGATTTAATATTCCAGGAAATCTTGTCCGTACATTTGATTTGGTTTTTCATTCATTATTGCTGTAACCATTTTTCGTTGAAAGTCTTGCAGTTTCACATCTCTTTCACTTTTCTTGTGAGCAGAGAAGTATCATTTTTTTTCTTTAAATCATTTTATCCTTCCACATTCTTCTTTGTTCCTCCATTATCAGGTTTTATCGTTACCGTAATCCACAACAGTGGTAATAACTATTTCATATATTACAACGGTGTGTGTGTGGGTGAAGTTCGGAAATTTGCGCACCGTTTTTGGAAATTTTTATAGATTCGGAGATTCTTAAAAAAAGTGACTATTTTCTTTCTCGAGAATCAGCGTCCATCAGCGCTGATCATTGGAATATAAGGTCGGTTTAAATGTGGTTAATATAGCTAATTACAGTTAGAAACGCACCAAATTTGTGCTGTGGAAGGATCACGTGAAAATATCAACAAATGTCTGCGAATGATGCGACGACGTTTTCCTGCTGCTCGGTTTCCGGAATTAAATTTAAGGCCTGTGCTGCCACCAGCATTTCCGGACCCACCAACAACACTTTACGGTACAAGACCAGTACAGGTATTTCGTTTTCCCATTTAAAAACTTTTCATTTACATTCAGTCTTGCCTAAATCTGTTCTTTATTGATGTTTTCTATCTCAGAGCGATGTAAACTAACTCAGGGTCCTGGAACATTCTATTAGGATTTGGGAAATGATAAACTAATATACTGAAACCTGGCATGCTTACTTGAGATAGGTTTTGAAATATTAGCTTTAATGGTGCTTTAATCAATGTTTTAATATGATGCTACACTGCAATAGTGAAGTAGTATTGAAGATAATGGGCTTTACATCTTCCAGAAAATTGGAAAGAAAGAAGAGTCCGAACTTTGGGGAAATGAATATTTAGACAGTAGTTATTAGTTCAGAAATAAAAAAAAAAATTTTTTTTTTTGTTGGGGAATTAGGAGATTATTCATTTCGTAAGAGTTGCAGTAGTATATGGTTTAAAATATGCTGGACAACTTAAAATATTTTGTTTCCCTCCATATGGTACCAATTTTTGGAAAAGAAAGAGTAATTGATCATAGATGATAAGATCGGGAAGTGTTAGAAGGCGGAGTTAGTGAACATCAGACAGAAGAATAGTTGAAATGAGTAACTGTTATCTGTATAAAATTTCTAATATTGTTTCGACGAAAGAATGCGTTTCAGTAAACGATAAGAATAAAATAATAATGCCGTAATGTGAATGATCTCTAACAACTGCCATTGCACACATTGTTACTGCATAGATGCATAGATAACTCAAAGGCATATTCTGCTACTAATCTCTCTGCATAGCAGTACGTGCTGCATTTTCAAAGAATTACTTAAAATTTATGATTTAATTTTGGTGGGAAAGATATATTACAATGTGGTACCATTGTTCTCTTAAATTATCAGAATTCAATGCAGATAAACGACTAGTTAGACAGTAGTTATTAGTTTATTCATTTGGTATAAAAACATTCATGGATGTAGTAGTCTTTTCCATTTAATAACTTGATAACACGTTACTGTTCTGAAACTTAAGAACAAAATAATGAATGACATGATGGTGCAATATATGCAAGAAATAAGTATATATCATTGAAGCTAACTCAAGTACCTTTAATTGATAACTGTAGCTGACTATTTTAGCGCTGGAGAGGAGGTAGGGAGTTCGTAGTTTATGCAGTTTAGAAAGTGGTGATTGATATTTTACAGTTGACATTGCCGGAGGGCGAACGTTGTCGAGTAATTTGTTCAGCTACCATTGATGTTGGCCATTTCTTTCTTCAACAACCGCAACATCCGACATTTAACGCGCTGCAACGGCTAGATTATTATATGCTTGGTGTCTATATGCAACCAGCGGGCGTACCAGATTTACCGAAACCAGTAGACGGTTGGTATTGTTTTTCCATATTTTGGCATTACAAAATACAGCATCCTAAAAGAAAAAAGAGCTTGTCAAATATATGTTTTTTTTTTTACTTACAAGTTTTTAAGCATGCAGGAATTTTCAGTCGATAAATTATGTGTTGCACCAGCTTTCGATGGTTGGTATCGTGCAGTAACACTTGACTACTACCCTGAAGAAGATGAAGTTATGGTAAGATATGTAGATTATGGCGGTTATGGTCGTATCCCGAGAAGCGATTTACGACAAATAAGGTTAGTCAATCAGCTTATATGCAGCTTTAATGGAAATAAATTTTACCATTAAAGTTAGCTAAGAGTTTTCAGTATAGAACGTTCTTTCATTATAAAAATTTTTGGGATTTGAGAGTGTTGTGGTTAGTGATTTTTGCTTTGGAACTTATAATGTACATGTTCACTTGCGAAGTACTTTTGAATTTGAGTGGATATTAGTAAAATATCGAAATTCTTTTGACAGTTATATAATTACTAACCTCTGAGATTTTAACTTTGATGGTAAGGTAAATGATTCTGGCATGAGTAGCATAGTATAGCAGTGATAATGATAATAGTGAAAGGGATTTTATGTGGTTCTATTGGTGATAAAGCTGTGAAGAGTTCTGTAGTTTTTTTTTTTTTTTTTAATGCAGTTTTGTTTTCTTACAGAACTGATTTTATGACGCTACCGTTTCAAGCTACTGAGTGTTATTTGGCACATATTATGCCCGTGGATGGTATTGTTTTCATTTTTTTTTTTAAATAAGGGGATGGGAAAGAAGGTGTGCAAAGTGTACATGAATCTCAAAAAGGTCAAGCAGGTCATCTTCTTTCTTTACTTTGATTTGTTGGTGTTGATGATCCCACAAGGATTTTCAAAAAACTTTGGGATATTATGATTTTGATGTTTTATTCATTTGTTTCTGTCAACATATTATACATTACTTTTGAGGAACGACAAAATGGTCCGATGAAGCACTGAAGCTGTTCCAAACACTGACGCAGGGTCGCATGCTGGAATGTTATGTTGTCGGGTATCATATTGAAGACTCAAGACCTTTTGTCGAGATATTCGCAACCGATGAAAATAATAGGGTTCATTTTCCTAGTCTCAGAAAACATCGTCGAAATTAGTTGTTAGGGTTTGAAATTTGAAAATAATTTAATTTGTTTTGCTTTAGGTAGATCGAATTGATAGTGCTCTGTTAGATGCAAATCTTGCAAAGGCGTGGGATCCGTCGAAGGTTAGACCAGTGCTTCCAAGGCCAGTACCACCATTATCAAATACACGTTTGCTTGGTCGTACTGGAAATGAAGTTTTTGTTGCTGAATGAAGATTAGAAGGAATGCAAATCGGTTCATTTGTTGAAATGCAAAAAAAAAAAACAAATCGTTTATGCGTAGAGCAACTTGTTATCAACAAATTAATTACCAGCAACTCTTCATGAATAGGAATTTTCTTTCTATTTCAAATTCCAAAATTAGCTAAACCTGCTTGAAAATTTTTTCGTAGCAGTTACAGAATGCACAGCTTTGCTTTAATTTTTGCAATTTATAAATTCCCTCCGGCTGTAATATTTGTAATTTCACATGAAAGTCTTGCGGTTTTATTCTCCTCGAATTTTGTCTCTTTGTTGGTTTTTTATTTGGTTTAATTTTTTTCCTATTTTTCATTTTCGTTCCATTATTTTCAAAAGTTCAGGTACACCTCCCAATTTTCTATTTAATGCATGTTTTTATACATTTCCTGCAGTGTAGATTTTAATCTCTATGGTATCTCTCCCCATATTTTCGCTGTCTTCTGATTTGTGCTTTTTTCACTTCTCCGAAAATCTGGAAAGTTTTATCTTTGTAATAATCCTTTCTTATTTCTCTTTTTTTCGTGTTTTCCTGGCAGTTATTTTTCAACTTATGTGCTATTGTGCAAGAAACTGTTTGTCGATTGTTTTCATCGCAGATTTATTCCTTTTTCATGTATATTTCTGTTTCGTTTATCACCAATAGTATTTTGTTTCAGGTTCCGTAAGCTATTGTTTGCCGGTTTCAAGTAGAAATTAAATATTGTAGTGACCCGTTTAAGATTATAGCGGTGATTTTCTTCTGTTTTGTAACGAAGTAATGTCAGTGGCGCTGTGATGTCATTTCCTAGATTGTGTGAATGGCTTTCTCGCTTTTTTGGCGGGTGTTAGTAAGATTATACTTGTGAAACTGTGGTTTCAAGAATGCAACTATCCGATATATGGAAGCTTCTTTTATCACTTATATCACTGTTTTCCTCACGACGCTTGGTATTCAAGTTAAAAAGAAAGGCAACGATGGTAACTTGTAGATGTATGGAACCTTCTTGCTCAAATTTAGGATTCCTGACTCAGTTTTTTTCTCCAGTATTTTGCTTTTTACTTCGCTCTGGCCATCGTTTTGACAAAGACGCCAGATACTGCTTGTTTTACATGCTGTTCCAATTTTGAACGTTGTTTTAAATCAATCCAATTTCGGGTTTCAAATCAGTTCAGTATCGGTACTTCTATATGTTTCCTTTGTGTTTTTTGGGACATTGTTTACTGTTTACTTCCTCAATTTTCATTTTACCCTTGTTTCATTCATTCTAAATAGGAAGCTTATCAACTTTTATCGATTATTTCTTGGGATTTTCTTTATGATTTCTCTTGTGTTCGTAAATTAAATAGATATTTCCAACACATTTGCTTTTGTCGTGTTTGTTGGTGGTGATAAATACCAAATATGAAAAGGTGAGTCGGAATGAAGATCGTACAAGGAAGGGACCATATTGTACAGGACTAAACATTTTGGAGATGAGTAACAGCTCAAGAATAAGCCTATAACAAATAAATTGGTACGGGTACATAATCGCACATTCCAATGTTTTTTATGAGTATTTCAGAGTGATTAAATAAGTAATGTGGATCTGTGAAATTTCCATACACACCTTGCACTGTTCTTTGGAGCTCCTTTCCGACTGGGTGAGGATCAGCCACACATAAATAGAACTTAACTAAGGAATTAACTAGGGGTTCCTGAGTCTTATTACATTTGAAATTGAGGAAGTATTGCTTTATTAAATTGTACAAAGAGATATAAAAAATAGGCAACATAATCAATAATAGAGGACGGGAAACAACACACAAAATATGTTTGTACAACGACGATATATACATATGGTAGCGCTTCAGTGAAAACATTTTTTGACTTCGGTTATTTGAACTTTTTTTTACTGTTCAGTGCATCCACAGCATTTCAAAAATGGTTCATCGGATAAACTGGATTTGGTGTAACCGTCACTGGATCATTACCATTACCGTGGTAATGATTATGGTGATATGTAGGTTGGAATAGGGGAACTTCAACTAAAATAAAATATGAAATTGTAGAACATTTGCAAGAACATAAGAGTTGTGATTCCTACTTAATCAGTATACAAATTAACTTTTTAGAAAAGGTGTAGCTTATATTTTTGTTGTAACTTGATACCTAATATAAGGGCTGTTTTAGATATAAGTACAATTTATCTCAGGGCTGGTATTATAAATATATATATTACATGTATCACTTAAAAAGAATATGGAACTTACACTGATATGCTTGTTGCTGCACATTCGCTTCTGGTTGCTGTACATAATAGGACATTCCGTTGTTTGGATATTTATTCGAATAGACATCATAGTGTTGTGGCGTAGAACATTCTATGAACGTATGAGATGGAAAGCGCGGAAAAATAGATGATTTATTTGGACTGCTATATTGATTGTAGCAATAACCGAACTTTGGATACTCAATTCCATTACACATCCTTGTATTATTCTGCAAAAGGGTAACGGTGACGAGTGATTTCAAGCTTAATCTTCGTCCTGAGAATACATATTTACATTGCTTTCGATTAATTCTACTATTTAAGCATATGAAGTGGATTAGTTGAAGTCTAAAATTAAACGACACACAAAGACTGTTCCTAAAACAAAGTACCATATGTGAAAGTTGGGCACTGTTTGTAGACATATGGCATCCGTTGTTAAATAAATTTAGTAGCTGTTGTTGTTGTTGATGACGCGAATGATCGTAATGTTGAAAATGCGCAAGCTGATGATGATAATGCTGCTGCTGGTGGTGGTGGTGCTGCTGTTGTTGTGGTGGTTGATGTAGACGCTGACCGGATGCTATTACTGCCGATGGAATTGCAGCTGCACTTGTGTAAGCGCTGCTACTGCTACCATTGACATTATTATTGCCAACTAATGATGTTAATGGCATAGCATTCGTGCTACCAACACTACTCGTACTGTTACTGCTACTGGCATTCCTAGTACACAACAAAGGATTGTCTTGTACTACCATTGCTGCAGGTGCTGCTGGTACTGCTAATACTGATGCTACTGGGTTTCTCTGTGGCTGATCGCCTGAAAATGTTATAACTACTGAATCATCTGTCGATCGCAAAACTCATGCTTCTATAAACTGTCTTGCAAACAGCGGTTTGTCTATCCCATATATTGAAAAAGTCAGTCTTTATTTGGTCTTAAGTACTGGATATCCAAACTGCTATATTTGAAAAACCTTGCTATATATGAGAATGTCGAAATTGCACGTTTGATTATGTGAAAAAAACAGATATTCAAGTCGTAAACAGTGCTTTCTAAGACAGTTTTATTAAGCAAAAATCATGGATATTAAACAAAATTTAACTAGTGAATTCGTTAAAATTCAGCTATCACAACAGCAAGCATACTGTACTAATTAATAGCACTTACAAGGTGGTGTAAGGGCGTTTTGTTGAGGTGTTACAGCAGCACTATGTGAGTCGTAAAATGAATTCGTGGAACATCGAGCGGATGAAGAAAGATGTGCTGGAGACGGTACACTATTGGGCGTACCACAGGTAGCTGACATCGGTGAAACTATCTGAAAATTATTTTTTACAAAGATGTCTGTAATATTCTGTTCCATATTAATCCTTCTTAAAAAATTAACGAGTTGCACGAACTTTGATATTTGATTCAATTTGTCAGTTCCAACCAAATTTATCTAATTTTAACTTCCATCACAGTACTCATCATAAAGACACTGTCCCAACAATATTAAAAAAGGCTTGAAATTCTTGAAACTGAAAGTGATTTCACTGATAGTTCATAATTTCTTATTATTCTGAAGAAAAAACACACCGAACTGCTTGCGGATTGCACTTTGAGTTTCTCCGTTTCCGTAGCTAATGTGGATGGCTGTTCATCGCAACGATTAACCAACACTCCTTCCAGACAGTTTCCTCCAAGATCATCCAGTGAATTACTCTGCAAAGACCACTATATATTTGGAACTATATAATTCGAAAATGCATAAGAAATTAATGTTACTAAAAAAAACTCGTGTCAAGAACAATTCTAAAATCTGCCTTCCATCTTCATAGAAGCATGATTACAGAATCTGCAGCAGTTATTTATTTTGACGAAAGATTACAAAATTTTTCCGTTCCAGTTAAAATATAATTCAGTTGTCAACTCGCAAATCTTAGTTACTTTACATTATAAAAAATTCGATTGCATTTGTAATTTACAAGCGCATATGAGCTACAAAAGTGTTTATCAATGAATTCCATTACGATTAAAACCAATGTTTAATATTATCTAAAGTTACATATATCCAATTACCGGTCCAATTTGGTCCATCAGATCTTTCACGTGCGATTCAGCTAACTCCGGCATCGTTGACAAATTGCTCATTTCTTCGGGAATGGTGGAAACTTCAGCTTCGTGTGCTTGTGATGTTGTTGGTAATATTGAACTGCCCAATCTTGTCTGATCGTATTGTTCGGCTCTTTCTAATTCGGAGACAATAGAATTCATCTGATGTGTTTCTTTATCCATCGATTTGTTACACTACAAAACATTTATTCGTGTTAAAATTAGTATTTAATTTTTTTTTTAATTTCAAAACCAATATTTGAACAATAAAAAACAGGTAGAATTAATTTGGAGCAAATTGAAATTATTTTAAACAAATTTGTATCTCTTACATCCCTTCTATCACTATAACTAGTTGTTGGACAATAAGGGACTTGTTTCGATATCATAGTTGAATATTTAAGTGAATTATTAGTCTGCATTGCAGCACTATTCTGAAATATTTCTGGCTCTTTTCCGTGATATATATTACGCTGATCACTCAAAATAGCCATGTGTGTGTACTGTGTCCATCCACTATTCCCTTCAAATGGTCGTTTTCGAATCTGAAAATAACGTGCAGCTGAAAGATGTCAAGAACTTCCCTAATTTTCTAACCTATAAAATGTTTATCCTTTCTCGAATTTTACTTTCTCTTATACTGAAAGCACTATTCTGATATACTGAAATATTTGAAATTCTTCTCTTATACTGAAATATTTGAAATTCGGAAACTTACATTTGGCTTAGAAGTAGACATGGATGGATAACTTGATGCAAAAGGAGGTGCAGTCCGTAATACTTGCATACATCCAGAATAACTCTGCGATGAAGAAAGAAGCTGTGGATGATGATGGGTTATCGATGCTGGCGCTTCCCGAGGTTTCGCCTGCTGCTCCATGTACTGTTTCATTGCTGCTTCCAAATATCTGAACTTCTTTGAAATTAAAAATTTTTGGAAATTAACCATAGATATTGTTTATTAATAAAACAGCAATATTCATGTATTTCAATATACACATATGAAAATTGAAATGCTCCAACAAGAGATTAATAAAAATTGTGCCTTTGCAAACCAGTATATTAACAAGAATTCACAAGAAGCAAAAAATCAATTTATAAAATACTGACGAGAAGTGGGAAAACAAGTGTAATATTGAAATATGCAAAGGTGATTGCAGATTATGAAATTCGGAGTTCCGAAGAGATGAGAAATTTCTCCATAAGTAAGCCCCATAGTTTACATTAGAAGTTTGCCTATCATTCAACCTCGCATTAACTCCTGTGATACCTCTGATCTGTACTCAGATGAAAAAGATGAAATAAAAAAGTTACACATATATAAGAACATCAAGACTTTCTTTTTTCCTGATGAAAATATTCCCAAATAAACAAGATCATTTAAAAAAAATCAAACAACCTTCGACGATACTTTTCCATTTCGGTCCTTTCTTTTTTCAGTCGTTCTATTCGAGCATTCTCCTGTCTTTGTTTTGTCCGTTCTGCTATTAATTTGGTATTTTCAATGCAACCCAAAAATCTAGCACGTCGTTCTTTCCACCGCGCACTAAACCTCTCATCAACATATGTCATGTCGTTTGGTCTGGAATGAAACAATGAAACAAGATTAGAAACACCATGAAACTTTAAACTACTCTTAACGATAATAATATTTTCATTGACTGATCAATTTGTATTTATTAAAGCTCAATTTGAATTAAACCCCACATTTCGGTTTTTGTTCAAATAACAAAGTGCACTGCTAGAAAACTTACGTAACTGCTGACTCCTCTTCAACAACGGATGTTGAAGGCAAAACTGCTGCCAAACCACCACTATTCATTGATTTAATTCGTTAATAGAAATTCCAGCTAATTAATTCAAAGAAAACAGTGAACATTCCTGAAATTCGGATAAGCTGACTAACAAATCGATCCAGTAAAGAAAACACGAAATGCGTGAAATGATGCAAATCAAATGAACATGTGAAATAAGTGAACTGCTGTACAAACAACATGTAACATCGCGTAAGCTCGAAATGAAAACACAGTAGAATTTGAAATTAGTCTGAAGAATAGAATAAAATTCAAAAGAAAGTATGTTTGATTTGTTCAAAAAGCACTTCTTATGCTAACTTTTTAAACTAAATTACATAACCAATAATCAGTAAATATTTTCTCGATCACAGCTAATTAATCCGAATTACTTCCTTGAATAACAACCTCAGTAGTAGCCAACTAGTCGATTAATGATAAATTTGTTCACTTAAATTATTCATAACTTAATCAACAAACAGCAAAAATTATTTTCAATCTTATTCCTTTTGTAGCAAAAGACAGCTTCCAGGAAGGTTGAAAATCCTCCCTGAGTTAATTCTTCTTAAAGCCAGAATTTTTGTAGCTGACATGCAATGGAAGTGCTATTTCCTCTTTTTACGATGAAAAAAAGGACATCTGTAATTGAAAGAGACAAAAATAATAAAATCTGTATGCTTCATTTGCAATGATAAAGTTGATTTTGGGGAAAGTACCATATCACACTATACTATTTCAACGCTGAAAGAAATGATTTGTAATCCATTAGTAAGCCGAACTGAAAATTAGTAGTTCAAAGCTGCTCAGCAGTATTGACTATATGGCAGCTAATTTACGTGATCAGCACAACTGGATCCTTGACGCTAAAAATCAAATGTGTCCTCGATATGTTAAGCAGGTGGTCTCATCTTATCAACATTGCAGTTGGATTGATACGCGCTTGTTAACAAGAAATTCATATCATTTATATATTTTTCAACTTAAATTTCTAATGAGAAATGTAACAGAAAGTTAAAATAAAGCAATAGGCAATTAGTTATAAGATTCAAATAATTATGAAATTTGTAATTGATGACTCGTTCTGTGTATATAATGAGCTGAATCACAGGATGTGATATTCAGAAAGCTAATAAACCAAACTAAGTCTGAAGTTTTTAAAGTAAGAATACAGCTTACACGGCATTTAAAATTTGTAATAAAGTGCAGAAAATTTTGTCGGAAAGGAAAATGTTAGCGAGAAATAAAGTTGAAAATAAAAAGTAGGGAAGAGGTAACGCTACGACAGTCGAATCTCTACTAACATATGTATATAAGATATATTTTTATAATGATGATGAATATAATGATAAAAAACACTGTGATCAACGATGACGAACAACGACGGTGCTGATGGTGATAATGATAAGAGTGATGATGACGTAATGGTCGACAATATATGAATGATCAAACTGTATTCTTCAAAAATCTCTGTAAGAATGCCACTTCACCTCTAAAACGACCTGTAAGTCAAGGCGAATGTTGTCATTTTCTGTAATTGATAATTCGTACGCAGGTGCTAATCTACATCTACAAATATTAAACATTACTGGAATTTATAAGGAACACAAAGAAACACCTGCCATGTTAGGAAAAGCACCGACAGTTTTACACCTAATAGTCATGCCTGTTTTTATTTCGCTTTTTCTAGGAATCCTTTATTATAAAGTTAAGTAAGCTGCATCTCTAAGTTCTCAAACCTACTTCAAGGAATACAATTGATAACAAATGAAAAAGATTAGTAAGAAATTTTGATTTCACTTCATGCAGAACTATTCTTTAAGTATATAATTTCAAATTTGTGGTAGACGATTAATGAAATTTATAAATGTCTATCTGTGAGAGTAATGTAAAAAGCAAGATGAGTACCATATACCTTCACAAATAAATCAACTCAATGCACTCACGATAACTATTCCATTTCATCTCCCATTTCGATTTAATGGTAGCTGAAGCAGCTCAGCCGTCCAATATTCATTTACTGTGAGATAAAAAAATTTATTCACATATTATTTTTTCAATAAAATAAATAAAAAACCACAAGATTTAATTATTAATTAAGAATTCGAAAATAGGACAAAAATTAAAAGTTCGATTTCGAAAAGATGAAATTTGAATAAAGGCAACAAAACTAGAAATTATTAAAATAGTAGCTTATTGCATGGTACCATTGAGATCTTCACTAAATAATAATAGAAGTTCGAATTTTATGAGAGGCAATTCAAATAAAAGGCGCCTTGGGTAAAAGGCGTTTTAATTTTGTATTTCGCACTGAATTTCACACTAAAAATATGGAGTTTGAAGTAAAAAAATCTGAACTAAAAAAGATGTAGGGGAATAGTTGGACAAAAAAATAAAAGGCGTCAGTGAGCATTAATTTTGCATCTCGCACTGAATATCACACTAGAAAGACTGGCTCATATAGAGTTTGAAGTAAGTTGGTAAAACAAAAAAGAGATGTAGAGAAATAATTGGACAATTAAAGGGTATAAATAAAAGCTGCTGCTAAATTTCAAAATAAATAAATTTAAAAAAAAATTTTTTTCTTCATTTAAGATACATGAACAAAACAAAACAAGAAAAGAAGCAATTAAGAATGGCAGCTCAATAAAGGTTTACATATTGAGAACTGTTAAAACAATAAATTTAATGGCAAAAACTATTATTATAATCAAAAAAAAAACTCTTCGTAGCTACTGTTAGTGACGCTCGATGATAGTAATGAAAAATAAAAGGGAAAAGAGAGAAGAAATAAAAACTAGCCTCGTCGCGGATCACAATCACTATTGCCTCTACCGCTACTGCTACTGAAGCGCCGCACCGTTCTGCATAAAACATTGAAAAAATGCATTAAGGATTGCTTCTGCCCTCTAAAATAGCTCTCATTTTTTTTGTGCGTGCAATGGTTTTGATGAATGGAAGGAAGTGATGAACAACTAAGTTTTTTCTTTATTCTAAAAAGTGAAAAGAGAGAAGGACGAAAGACGACTGACTGGTCGCTGTTTGGTTGTGTGTAGTGGAGACCGAAAAAAATGATCAACTATTTCCTCTCCCCTGAAATTGTACCATAGTATCATAACACAATATATGCTATGACTAACCATAAGGAAAAAGAAAAAGGCATCGTTCACAAGGCAACAAATTCTCGCATGCCTTGCTGATTCAGGCTCATGCTCACTGATAAAACTCTACAAACTGCAACGTTACATACTGATTCACGTTTATTCAACGTTACACGCTGATTCACGTTCATTGAATGTCATATACGATTCAGGAGACAGTTTTCTGCGAAAAAAATGATTCAAAAGTTAATTAAACATTCCATTATAACAATAATAAAGGTGTAAATCAACGTGCATACGTGTAAATATCAGTCCGTTGTTCAGCAATAACTTCTGTCAAATCTCTCAATGAATTTGAAAAGTAAAATAGAGGAAGAAATTCCCTGCGTGTGCTCTACCAGCACACATTGTTTAAAAATATATAACGCATTTATTCAGGATGAAAAAAAAAAAAAAAACCACTTATCGAATTTCGTCCAATAAAGAGAAAAGAAAAAGGATGAATGAATGGATACTACCATATGGTTTTCGTACTCAAATTAACTACGCACAAATTGTGAAAATATCTTCAATAAAAAATGATTTTAAAAAATGTGACTAATTGTACAATCGTCAAATTTTCACGTCATCATTTAAACATTTTCTACGAGAAGAGATGGTTATGTGTATGTAAGTGAATTTAGAACTGAATGAAATAAATTAAATAGTTACGATTATACTTACATTCCTTCTTCCATGCTAATTAATTAAAACATCCAATTACCACTCGAAAATCACATTGCCTTCCATAATTTTAAATGAGAAATAACAAAAAATACGGCAGATGGTGACCAATAAAAGAAAATAGAGTAATAAATCACTGTTGCGCTTCAATAACTTACTTTCGAATAGACATGGAGCAGTGTAATGACCGAGTGGAAGCAGTTCAAATGGAATCGATACGACGAGAATCTTGTGTGGGCGTGCGTTGTTGTCTCTTCGGCCGGCTATTAGCCATAAGATGTGAGAGTTAAGTTGTCATCATATGTGTATAGATAAGAGCTATGTGAAGGAGAGGCAGGTCAGGTCACTGGTCAACACGAGATGGCCTCAGACATTCCACTCTCCTTGAACAATAACATGATGAAAAAATTGGATCACTTTCAATTTTTTCAAACAGCAGAGAGAGAGAAAGAAATGAGAATAAGGGATAACAGTACAGTATCATGTCACTATATCATATCATATCATATCATATACATACACACATACACACTACTACCATCAACATCAGCAGTATCAATCATTACTACACTCTGTTGAACTAAATGTGAAGAAGTGATAGTGCTGAAGACGAAGGAAGAAAAGAGATAAGGGCGCGTGCCTTAACCTTCCTTCCCCCGCATATAATATACCTCATGCATCTCTCTTCTTACATCACTTTGACAAGAAAGGACACTCACAACACACTTACCAAATCTGTGGAGTGACCCTGATCCCATGCTACCCCACTCAACATCAGCCATCACTACCACACTACCAACACTAATACTACTAGTACTCACTGCTATCACATTCTCTTCGTGTCATCCTCGTAACTGTCTGTGAAAGAATTGTTCATTCATTTTTGAATTGGACCAAATTCAAGAAGCTAACTTTGACTTCTACCTACTTCAAAGACCATTTACTCGAAATAACATTATAAAGGAAAGACTAGAACCTTGATTTTCAAACTTTGACACCTTCACATTTATGAAATCCACCATTATTTTTCCACATAAAATTTCTAATCCGCTTTCCATAAATTTTTGGTTTTTTAATCACTCGAGAATAATGATGAAATTTACTTTCGAGATTGCAGTTCTCAGTAAGACTCCCCACACTTTGCTTTCACAAACCAGTTAATTCCATAACCTTTCGAATTTAAAATTGCTAATTCAACACTAACATTCAGTTAGTGTCGTCGCATTCACTGACGAAAAACAAATGCTACTATACAGTGGCACATAGTAACAGCAATTCACTGAAGAAAATTCCAAAAGTATCATACGCGCGCTAGGGAAATAGCATCAAGATTATAAGAAAAGTGTAATAGGAATTTATCGGATTACCAACATCAGAAATATATACCAAACAAAACAGAATCACGCACTAACAAAACAAAACTTTTAAAAAAATCAAAGGACTGACCGACAACACTTCAGGACTTCAAAACAAGCGGTATTAGATCTTTAAATGTTTAAATGAATCCTTAATTGCAAGAAACCATATCGAAACTGTTGTCCGAAATTGAAAAAAAAAACAACTTCTCCAGGTTACTTGAAGTGTTGCATATTCCGAATAGAAACAAATATTTAAATCGAACCTTCCATTAACACACCGGCACTTTCTTGGATCCGTTTAATTTCTTTTGCTTTCTCTTTGAAATAGTTGGCAAACCTGTAATATTAAACAAAGCACTTATTCCCAGCAAAAACAAATATTAGTGGTTAAAAAAGCCTATTAAATAAACAAGTTAGCTTGCCCACACAACTGGGTATTGGAGCCCGACAAAAATACCACATATATAAATAGAAGAAATAACTTCTGAAAGGAATAAACAGTTATAGTAAACTTCTCGATTGTTATAAAAAAGTAAAAAAGTTTCCTTTCAGTTTCAATTAAAGTACGGAAAGTTACCAATCAAGATGAGCATGTTTTTTCTTGATTGACATATAGGGATTTTTAGATAATCCTACACAAACTAGCTCCATAAATTGTGCGACAGGTCCTTCTTCTGGTAAGCTGTACCGGGCGAGATATTTATCCAGAAATATATGGTTGTAAAAGTCAACCTAGAATTTTTTAAGTCTATTTTCCAAAATAGTTGATTTGAAGACGATCACTCAGAAAATAAAAACAAAACAGTTCCTATGCTTTAAAAAGCGAAAAGGACGATTACGTTTTCCTCATCGCCAATCTGATATTCGTTGTCGATTGGATAAGGCCACATTTTCCCTTGTTCTGTTAGCTCAATCATTTCCTCGAAGGCATTAGATGGACCGAATGAAGAGTTCCATATCCTAAACATAAATCACTGATTGCCGGAAAATTTCAAATCAAGTGTTTTAGAAAACAGACAACAGATTATGTGAAAAGAAGAGAAAAAGACACCATTTTTTAATTTTTAAACAAAACTAAAACACACGCTGCAGCATCTTTATCCCATTTACACCACTGCTTCACTGAGTGATCTTCCAGTTTTGGTATATCCGCTATTTTGAAAATGTTCAACTTGTTCTCAGTATTTTTGAATATGTTTTTCACACGACAATCGGGATGAATAGCATTGGAAGAAGCTATATGCGGTTCATCTGATAATAGACCATCCGGATAAATCATTTTGCTAGAAAATTAAACAAGAATATAGATTCTCTGTATCTATAGCAATCCTTCGAAAAGAAATCACAACAGCATTTTGAAAATTTAAAAAACTGACATAAGAAAACTGATAGTCATAATACTATTGATTACTTATACAAAGTCACCGAATTAGAACAATATCAATAACAATAGATAAGGTGCTTTCAAAATGACATTGTTCTAAGACTAATTTTCAACGAGTGCGACGGTAGGAAATTTCATAATGCTCCAACCATTTATCAATTCCCTAAATTATGCATAACTTTCCATGATAAGACAGCAAAAAACATCGACTGCAAAACACTACCATAAAGCTAAAAAATGAATCAGTTACCCTGCTAATTGTAGTGCGATATTATAAAAAGCACTCTCTTTTTCGGTCTGCTCAATTTCTTCCAGCATATTCTTCTTTTGTTCTTCTGTATAATTTTGCATCAGAATTTCCTGTTTTCCAGCTGCCCTCTTTTCGGCTATTTTCACTGCATACTCGGCAATTCTACGAGCATCCTCTACTTTGTGAGCTGACTGAAAGCCGAAAATTCCTAATTTCCAAAACTCTTTATTAAGATAAGTTAAAACTTATTCAGTCATCTTCACTTCAATCCAGAAGATTTGGATAATTCATAATGAAATAAATAAAAAGTACAATGTCACCTGAACAGCTTGATAAAATATTTCACGCTTCAGCAGTAATAGCCCTTGGCGCATTTGTCGCTTTTCCACAGCCCTAAATTACTAAATTATAAGTTTTGCTTACAATACATAAAAGAAATTCAAACCTACTAAAACAGAAACTGTTTTGCCAATAGCTTCTAGAAAATGACTGGCAGAGCTATTACAGTATTAGAGTCCTGGAACATATTTCGAAAAAGAAAAGAAACATACCTTGGTGGAGGTCTAGCTGTTTCATCCTTAAGACTTTCTAGAAAAGTGGCAAAAGATCTATCGGATAACAATTCACTGTATTGTGCACTGGTTGCCGCTTCAAAATTTTCCTTCTCATATTCCATCAACTTTCCAATCAATTCATTTCTGGTTCTGAACAAAAAAAAAAAAAAAAAAAAAAAAAATTTCCGTATGAAATTTATTTTTCTACGGTATGTTTCCTTCAATATAAGCATATTTTTCCTCAAAACAATTCACGAGAAAAAAGGATGTTTTAAAAAAATACACCACGATCTCTGAGTTATGGCCTTCACTAATTTTATTATTTGAAGGAATGTGACAAGTTTTCTAATCAAGCATCACGTGCTTACCTTCGTTCATCAGAGATGCCATTATAATGGAAGTCCTTAACTATGGAATTAACAGCTGCCAAAATTTCTTCCGTTGCCACTTCATTTACTTTCGGTTTTTTCCAGTTCTTTCTTCGCTTAAGCTCCAATAATTTTTCTGGAAAATGAATTCAGTAAGTAACTTACATTTGGTTCGCAGTACAATGATGTATGAAAACCCAAGAAATTTTTAAAGAATTACTTCGTATGTTTTCTGGTTTTAAATTCTCATCTGTTGTAGCTTTGGAAGTTGTGATTCTTGATTCCTTCCTAATTTCGGGAGCACTTTTCCCTGATATTTCAAATCTTTGCAGGCTTTCAGTTTGCGAACTAGCACTATCATCACTTGAAGTACCGAAGGATCGCTCAATACAAGGAAAAGTCATGCGTCTGCCGATTTTTAATCGCATCAAACAACTGCGATTAAACATAATTTGTATCTAAATATATCAAAATTATTAAAGTAGGAAAATATCTATACCCATTCGTTAATCTGTACTCCGAAAACATGGAAAATTTTTAAAAAAGAAAGAAATGAAAGAACCCAACAACCGTAGAAACCCAACTATTAAGAGTTTGAATCAAATGTATTCTACAACTTGTGGTTTATTTGTCTTTCTCTAAAGACTTTTTCGAATCACTTATTATCTTTATTCCTTTCCTCATTTAGCGACACGTCTATGACCACAATGAATGTATACTGAGGTTAAAACTGGATAAGCTTATCACTTAAATTCCTGTACCCTCGTCCGAAATGCAGGCAACCGATCTCAACACTGTGTCTGGTTGGTTCTGAAAATCATATTTATTGAACCGTCTTATCAAAATAGTAATCAAGTAGCTCCATGGACAAAGCAGAACGGAAATTTGACTAACACATAACTCAGTGATTCTATGAAAATTGCCAGAGGTGAATAGCATTGTAACACTAATCAAAAGAGAACATTGTCAAGTGGTCAAACCACAATCCTACGGCATTCAGGAGTATAAATGATGCCAGCAGACAATTTGAGGGATTTCATGGTGCTTGCGTGACACTGCAAGAGAAGCAAGGGATAGTCATTCGATATTTCTTGGACTCGATAACTTCATGAGGAACACAAGCGCTCTCTGAAGATTTTTATTGAATGATGAGGACCTTAACGGCAATACTTTTTTTACAAACCTATGATATATGAAAGTTTGAAAGCGAGGTAATTACTTATATCAATACACGAGAATTACAAATGTACAACAATACTAGAAATATATAAAAATATAGTAAAACTGTATCAAAAACTTCAAATTACCATTCAACAATAGCTATCAAAATCTCTATAAAACAGCATGAATGAACTAGTAAGAAAGATAATGAGGAAAATAAAGATGACCACTTTTACATACTAATAAAGCTTCGAAAGGTAAAAAAGTAAGGAAGGTATTACTTCAAATAATAGCACTCAGGAATACTCGAGCAAAATTCTTTTCTTAAAACTGAAATAAAATAGAAATATCAATGAACTAGAAATGAAGAAAATGTGACAAGTAAATATAGCTTAACAGCAGGTTCAGTAATCAACAGAGCATCTTTATATAACAACAAAATTTAGCCACTGACAAATTTTAAACCCTTGGAAATATTTTTCTTCAATTCCGGAACGGCAGCAGCAACAAGGCTTTGTTCGTATGTACTAAGCTTGCCCATTCCAAGAACTTTCTCAACTCCGTTTTTCTGAAGAAATTAAAGTTCTATATTAGTCATCATCAATAGTAAGCGAGAAATACTATTAAATTTATGGAATTAAATAAAAAACCACTGAAACGCGTCAAATAAATGAAATAAACAAACAAATAAACCGAAAAAACAGTTCCCTTCAGAGAAAGAAATTCTTAAACTTATGTAATACGAAAAAACTTACACCAAATTCCAATGGTGTTGCAAAATAGTCCACGCCACTGCAGGCATCCGAAGCAACATATGCACACTGAATGGATTTCTCACCTCTAAGACCTCTCAGTAAACTTTCCACAAATTTTGAAGCTGCCAAAGCCATTGAAAGTGTAGCCGAACCCTAAACCTTTCTAATAAATAACTCTAACGGCACATATCCCAGGACATAAATTTCATAAAATGTAAAATTTTTCCATAAGTCGATTTTTATTCAATCAGAAATTAATATTAGCAATACCAAAAATTCACGTGGAATTAAGTGATAGAGTAAAGAAAAAAATGAAAATGAATTAATAAAGAATAGAGTAGATAAAGAAAATGAAGATGAGTAATGACATACTCTTTAATTAAGACGTCGGAAATTCGTTTCATTCAGTTCTAACTAAAAGAGAATCTACAACTTACAGCTCCAGCCTTTGCTTTCACAACTTCCGTTCCAGCATTCTGGATTCGTTCTGTCAGTTTCTTCACTTCATCACTCGAAAACTTACAGAATGGTTTCGCTTGCGAAAGAAGCGGAATGATGGTAATCCCAGAATGGCCACCAATCACGGGTATGTCTGTTTCCTCAGCATCTAGGTTCTAAAAGAAAATTAGATATAAAATAGCAGTGTTGTTTGACAGTATGTTGAAAAAAATCACCATATCACACATATATTTCTTGAAGTTTGCAACAAAACTTGAATCATGAAAATACTTTGGCTCCAGCAACAAATGCTGCTGATCGCACAACATCGAGTGTTGTGACACCAAATATACGTCGCGGATCAAAGACGCCATGTTTTTTGAAAATTTCACAAGCTATTGGAACTGTTGAATTAACAGGATTTGTAATGATTGCAACGAAAGCTTTTGGACAATTTTTTGCGGCTGCTTCACTTAAGTCTCGTACAATGCTAGCATTGGTGTTAAATAAATCATCACGAGTCATGCCTAAAAGTAGCAGGTTTTAACTTTTTACAGAATAATATATTTTATATATTTTTTTGTCAAAACTGACAATGAAAAACGGAATAAATTAACGTAATACATAATTTCTGCTCTCGAAAACTTCCAAAAAAAGAAAAGTCAAGATTGAAGACCTGGTTTTCGTGGTAGACCAGCTGGTATCACTACAATATCAGCATCTTGTAAAGCTTCATCTAGTTCATTTGGACTAGTGTGTCCCGTGACCTAGAATTTAAACTTTGAGGAGCCATAGCACTTGTAGAAAACGTGACCAATAATAGAAACTTGAAAAAAAAACGCGAAATTACTTGATATCTAGTAATTATATGAAAGAAGTACGTGAGCTCTAGTATCGATATGTGATAGATCGGCGGCCACACCCGGCGTATCCTTGATATCGTACAGTGCTAATTTTGCTACATGTTTATTCATTTTTAGCAGCAATCCAAGTGGTTGTCCAATACCACCAGCAGCACCCAGCAAAGCAATCTGTAAAGTGAGTTTCTATCAAAATTTTCAATTTTTCAAATAACTTTTAATATTCTCGTTATAGCTCGCTCTCCACTTTTTACTCACTTTTTACTCAAAAATTTTACTTTAGGTGCAGAACTAGTTAAACGATGACTGCACATTTGCAAATTCCTCGTTAATGGTTCCAAGACCGATGATATTCTTCCAATAGCTGTCATTGTTACAGCTGAAATAGAAATGCGATCAGTCTTTAAATGAATTTATATAAAAATTAAAGGTATGTTAAGTAGAATGAGATGTGAGAGTTGCAAGTTCAATAAAAATACACATCTTCTAGTTCAGTGAACATTAGGCTGAATGATTCAGAGATAAATTACTGTTTAATGATATGAGCTGCTTGCTAGCTTGACTGCAAACAAACTATGTGCTCGAGTCAAACATTTTTAAGCGATGATTCGAGAGAAATAATTGTTATCGACAGAAAGAAATCAATTATACAACGAAACTAACAGCACAGCACCACCTCTTCCCACAGATATAATGAAAGAGGTCGATCCCACCAGTAGAGAGAGAGGGGAAAGAAGGAGAGAGACGATGCTAGTGAGCCAACAACAAAGTAGCACAGTCAGAAGAATCAAACATCATGTGTTACTTTGATGAAACGGACGGCAAATACCTGTGGGGCAGATATGTCCGTGCTTAGCTGATCGATGTACGGATTCCGCGTCTCTATCGTTGATCGATAGCTGTGATGGAGGGGAGAAGGGTAAAAATTCATGTGTTGTAACAGATGAATATAACAGATGAATTCAACAGGCCACTAGTACAATGTCTAATTCAGATTAATTACGATTCCATTTCAGTTTAGATTGATTGTTTGTTGTTCAAGTTGTTGGTGTAAGTAGAGAGATATCTTTATGAGCAACACATTTCCATTTCGAAGATAAAATGCACAGTTAGTGATAAGCGTTACGGGTTCACAACTCTGATCAGCGATATTCATAACATAGCGACCAACGATAACACATGATAGTTAATCTTCACTGTGCTCCTTAACATTAGCTTTTATTATTAATGTATATAAATTATTGTGCCGCTAATGACACTCGTTTACTAGTGATTTTGTATCTTGAGTAGACTGCACATGGAATTCCGGTAAGTTAGCACTTTCTTGAATGCATTAAGTGTGCATAAGGGTGATCATGGGACTATTTCTTTGTGAAGTAAATGACTTAGACATATATGCAATGATATATTACTCGAAAACTCGGAATTGCCTACTGTTTTCAGGTGCTGCAATCTAATGTGTTATATAAAGTAATATCATAAGACAAACTTCTATATCTGTTAACTGATATTTTCCTTTATCCAGGTCATCTGTATCGGGATTTAAATCATTTCAAGCCTGAAGAAATGATTAGGCGGGAAATATTCATCCTCAGTGGGATAAAATTAATGATTTAAAGGTTTTTATTTTTTCTATAATTGGTAGTGAATTGAAGAACACTTGGTAAAATCACATGAAAAATTCCTCTGGTGCTTCACTTTTCTTCTGCATAATAACTCGTTCCATAGCTTTATCGAAATCTTCCAGACACACAAACTTTCTTTGCGCACGAAGCGCAAGCATTCCCGCCTCTGTACAGATTGCCTAAAATGTATGAAACTACTTTCGTAAATGAAAGCAGCTGGATAAAACAATATAATCAAGCGACTGGAGTGAAGTATTGCATACCTTACAATCAGCTCCGGAAAGTGATAATTCTGAGGCATATTTTTCGAACCTAACATTAGTCGCAATTTTCATCCCTGCTGTGTGTATTTGAAAAATTTTGAGCTTTGTTTTTTCATTTGGTTTCGGTAATTCTATTTTACGATCAATTCGACCTGGTCGGATAAGCGCCGGATCCAACACATCAATCCTATTTGTTGCCATTATTACCTGATTGGAAAGACGTTTGTCATTTCTTTCTGACAAATAAGCCGTTATGGATGAAAACTATATTTCGATTATGCATCAGTATCTCGTATCTTCTGGAATGCACTCAGTGCTCACCTACTCTTTGTCCTTATTAAGACTTGATATGAAATTACAGTTGTAACTTCTCAAAAATCTCAATTCCAGCAAGTTACCTTGACATCGCCGCGGCTTTCGAATCCATCAAGCTGATTTAACAGTTCTAGCATTGTTCGCTGAACTTCTCGCTCACCACCACAAGTCGTATCGTATCGTTTCGTGCCAACTGCATCAATTTCATCGATAAATATGATGCATGGAACTGATTCCCTAGCTATCCGAAATAGTTCTCTAAAAGAATACTATTGTGAGGCTTCTAATGTATTTAAGATTTTTTTTTTTTAATTTTTTTGTGAACTAATTACTTGCCGTACTAATTTGGAGCCATCACCACTGTTTTTCTGAATCAGATCAGCACCAGTAACTCGGATAAATGTTGCTGATGTACTGTGTGCTACCGCTTTAGCTAATAAAGTTTTCCCTAAAAAAAGGATAACCACTTTTCGAGATCTTCTGATCTGATTAGGAACTTAATCTTAGAATGATTTGACACACGATTATCGAATCCATCGTTTTATCATTCAATGCATTTACAAATAGTGAAAAACCATTTCCGAGATTTTTATGATCAGTATTTGTTACCAAAAGCATTATGAAGAGTTTTTTTTATTATACACTTTCCGAACGCTAAGCTACATCATAAATTTCATTTTTCAGAAAGCATTTTATTTTTTCCAAAATATATTAGTGATGGAAATGACCTGTTCCAGGCTCGCCGTACAAAATGACACCTTTTGGGGGTGTAATGCCCATTTCTTCATAATATTCCGGATGAACAAGCGGTAGTTCAACAGTTTCTTTAATTTCCTGAATCTGCTCTTCCAGTCCTCCAATATCCTAAATTCGTCAGAATCATTAAGATCGGATAATAATCATGTAATAAGGAATGAAAGTAGTGAGAACAAAAATCCTTTTGATGAGCTTTTCAGGACTTTTTTTTCAAGATATACTTTAACAGACAGAGTTGTTTCGCAATCTGACTGTAAATCAATAAATAAATTTTGAAAATTTCTGCTATTACAATGTGTAAGACTTTAAACTTAAATTTAAAACTAGCATCGAAAGATTCTTTGGGTGCTTTTTCAAGTTTATTGATGATCGAGTTAGATGCGTCAATGCTATCGTGCAATACCCCAACCACTGCAATGGGAACATTCTTCAGAGATCCTTGAGCTTTTACCATAACCAAAGCACCAATCCTGATCAAATCCTTGTCAACAATTGACAGTACTGGTATATACCACTCTCGTTTGTTACCTTCAATAACCACTACAGCATGCTGTAATAATGAGAAACTGCTTAAACATTTCACACAATTTTAACCAAATTTTTTAAAAAAAAATCAAAAATTAAGCATTGTGTTCGTTTACTGAGACCATTGGAATATTCAGTTATAGCCATCTTTTTTTCTATTATCCATGTTAATATCACTTTGATGTTAATTAAGTGATAATGGAAGGATTGATACAGTGTGTGATTGTGACAAGTACTGGGATAGGATAGTTCATTTATTTCTGCAGAATTTTCCATGTTCCATCTTTTTCCTCAATTATTTCTAGATGTACCCTTCCTTATTTCAATTTCTTCTAAACCTTTTCATCCAGGAAAAGCTCATGAATTCGAGCAAGTGCAATCGGTGAGCCACGTAATGCATTTATAGTTTTGCGTTCTTTCTTCTGTTGTTCACTGTTTGATCCACTTTTCCCTTGACGTTGAATAAATTCTTTTTCCAACAATAAATAGTCTTTTATACGACTCATTCGTAATAATTTTAGATAGCAATGTCTTCGTGGTATCGCTGAAGTAATACATTCCAGTTGCACTGTTTTTAGTTGCTTTATAAAAGAAATTTTACTGCTTCTAAACTGATTTACTATGGCAGATGCTATGGTAGCAAATTTAAGAAATTGAGAAATTAAGCAAAAACATATCAAACAAGAATAAATGCTAATTAACTCGCTCCCGATATTGATAATGGATCATATCATCGATACTGTTTAATGAAGAATTTTTAATGGGAGTACCAAGTAAAACTGGATTATCATTCTAACCTTGTGGTAACTTGTTGGCTGTATCTTGAGTTCGTTGAGGTTTGCGAGCAATTTTCATTAGGGCATGTTGTGGCATCGCTACTCCTTTTCTATCAGGCCTAGATACCTGATTGCCCATTTTTCTTTCAGTATCGGTAACGTTTTCTATACGTAACGGTATTATTCAATACGATATTTAGCAATAATGTGTAAACCTTAAAAGCTTAATGATTTAAGTGATTCTACCGCACAAAACGCAGATATAACTAGAGAAATAACAGTAACTTTACCAAACTGATCATTTTATATACTGTACAACCGATGTTAATCATTGCAGTTTCTGCGGAATATTCGGCTGAACTGGTAACAGTTACCATTTTTACTGGCAGACAATGATGATGACAACAAAGCATACACATAAAGACACTTTTTCCGTATACTCCATGATAGCTTGATTCGCTTTACGCATGGCATGTTAACGTAACGTGTTCCAATTATTTTGACTCGTAACCTGTATTAATCAACAAAATTTTGTGGCTCTAGTTTCTCTTGGTTTCCCGAGCATTTCCGTTCTATTATCACTGTTATACATGTCAAATTTATACTACAAAATTTGCATCTGAATTGCATTTTGCAAAATGAATATCATTTTTGGTATCTTCAATATGTCCATGATTCTTTAGATGGAAGAATGAGAAATGGCAATGAAATCAGTATGGTATCTTCGTTCACTTCAATTTATATCACTTCTTCGTTTCACTTTCACCCTCACCTCCCTCTTCTTTCTTTTCCTGAAGAATTTCATTTTTTCTTTAATCATTCATTTAAAAAGAAAAACAAATAAAGCAATAGGTTTAAGACAAATCCGTTAAGTCTGAAAGCTTATTTTTGCAACTTTTTAGTATAATCTGACTAAATTTCCGTCACTTCCGGAACTATCTTAAGTCACTCCCTCATATTTTCTCCAACTGAAATATCTTTGAACAGAGCTATAATTTGATATGCGCACAGACACATATACATATAAACTACACACCGTGTCACTCTCTTTTTTATCCGATTTAACTTCCTTTTTATCTTCTTCTTCCTTCTTTTCCTCCTTCTCTTCGTCCTTTCTGTCTTCTTTCTCCTTTTCCTCTTTCTTCTCATCTTCCTCTTTTTTTTCTTCCCTCTTTTCCTTTCCAAAATCCTCTTTCTTCACTTCATCTTTTTTCCCTTCCTCTTTTTCCTCATTTACTGGCACTTCTTGTGTTACCATCACTTTCATCTCATTTAAAATTTTGTGGTCACTTTGTTGGGTCTGAAATGTCATAGCTTATCAGTAATACATCAATTGTACAACACTGATATGTCTCAGGTGACACCTGTCTCACGTGATTCCACGTGTTCATCTGAATCATCGCCACTATTTAAAATTGTTTCTTTCTGCATTTCGCTGTTATTTAATTCAAACAGATGTAAAATATATGTGATTACTTTGGCATTCAAAGTTATGTTAATTCTTCGATGAACTTTGAACTTAAATGCATTGATACTAACCATCGCTGTATTCCTTGCTTCTTTTTTGGATTCTTCCTTCTTTGAAACCTCTTTCTTCCAGCTTTCTTTTTTCGAATTCTCTTTCTTCGATTTTCTTTTTTCTTCAGTCTTAAATTTCAAACTGTCAGCAACGATCAAATATTTGGATACTTTCAATTCTTCTAAAATCTCATACATCTAATGGTTCCATGTATTATAAAAATGTTTTGAATGAGAGAGTAAAGCTCGAATTAATGCAAACTTCTTTGGCATTAGAAGATGAAATATTCCACACACCTTATGTAATATGTTCGTATTGAATTTCACACTGAGTTCAAATGACTAACTTCCTTTGCAGATTCTTTCTTCTCTTCCCCTTCTTTCTTTTTTTCGTGCTCGCCTTCTTCGATTAGAGATTGCGTCTTCTGTTCATCCATTGGCGGTAAAATTCCTGGTACTGCTTGTGGCTGTCCAGTAGGAATTGCTGCGTTGTTGACTCTAAATTCAGTGAATTTTTTTTTTCCTGAACATTTTTGACCATATGGAGATCATCAGAAAACAGTTCTTGGCAATGATACAACTTTTAACCCTCTTTTGAAATTTCATTGATTGAAAATCGCTATACCTAATTTAATATTAAACTTCGGAGGTATAATGTGCAGTGCTACAGCAAAAATCTCTATTTCTAACTTAACTTATCAGTGAATATAGAAAAAAAAAACTTTTTTTTGGCGCATTGTATGACAGCGATCAGAATGAAAGTTGTAATGGCAGCCAAAGTGAAGGTTTGATGAGCGAGCATTGCAATGAATATTGTTTTATCGACCATCTTTCCGATATATTCTTTTCCTTTTAGATATGCCTTCTATATCAATAAGCAGTTCAAAGGAATACCAAAAGTTACGTCTGGTTGATAAGTTTTGGAAACTGAAGTTTATTGTCAGCCTTGGAGAAGCAAGGATACTTCAATTGGATAAATTTGTTGGTTGAACAATCTTTTAATTTCGGTTAGTAACCAGGGATTTCCTCAAAGCAAGAGAGACAAAGTTTAAGCCTCCAACCGCCTTATGTACGTAGTGAAAACTTGCAATAAAATTTCACTCATTCGATCGCATTTTAACAACTTCTAATATATTTGCATAGTTTTGATGTCATTTTTTCCAACGAAAAAATAAAAACATCTATTTTTTTCTCTAAAAAATTCACGCATTTGTTTACTTGACGAACCGTCAGAAATCATAGATATTTTGAATTGATCTTTTAAACGTCATCGCTGCTTTTAAGCATTATTTGTTTTCATGCTAGAATTACATATATTTTGCAATACATTTTGATTCACTGTTTAACCGTGAATTTATTGTCCTTCATGCAGTCATCTGTCCGCTTGTATAAGGTTTCTTTCATAATTTTCTTCCCCTATATTACAAATTTTTTAATTAAAAGTTCGTCTCATTTCAAGGATTGTTTAGTGTATTATGCAGTTTTCTTTTTTTCTCTGATATTACGACAGAATAGCGTTTCAAAAACTAAACAAATTTACATGGATTAAAAATTTGCATAACTGAGAAATTCAAATTATGCAATTTAAACTCCTCTAAAGAGTTTGAAATTTTGCAAAAAATGTAGATGGCTATCAAAAATTCTATAAATATTCAAGTTTTCACTTGTTTTAGCTTCAAACAAATGCTCTTATTTTGACGCGTGGTGAGTTGTAGAAATCTTATGATGAAACAAGCAAGAAAGGTATTTTTCGCGAAGATTTTAAATTTAAGCATTATTTAAGTGTCTGAAAACTCATTTTAAAGTCAGATAGGTTAGATGCTGGAATTAATTCTGGAATAAATCATGATGTCTTTTAAGCTACTTTGTTTTGAGAGTAGTATATTTTAAAAACAAAATGGTCAACAACAAAGGCCTGTGTCAGCAGGCAATTTTGTGATTTATGCATTTCCTCTTAGAGTTATTTTAAAAATGCAAATCTTCTTTAGTCTTCTCTTACCATGAAGTTATCACATATATTTAAAGCGAAGAATTCAATACTGCGAATGTGGAAGTATCATTTTCTTTGACAGTGTACAAAGCACTAAAACTCATGAATACATTATGTTCAAATTTTTTAGAAACTACAATGAAATTGAAAAATGCGTAATTTTGCTTGCCTATAAGTAAAATCACAACTATTCTTATCTTCAAATATTTTTGGTGTTTTAAATAACGATGGAAGTTTTGTTCTCTACCTGTTTAGATTGACAGTTATGTCGCATATTACAATGAAGAAAAATCATGGTTACATGTTCATCATGATGATGGTAAGTTTTATTCCCGAATCTATTTCTTCCAGTAATTTCGTACTTGCTACAGCAATTGTGTTTGTAAGCTTAAATAGTAAGCAAACATTATGTAAAATTTATATAAAACTATCATTAGACTTTTATTTTTAACATTTCCAGATATTCTTCCAAATTATTTCGAAAATAGCACTGGTCTAGATGATCTTGGCGATGTGGAATTTAACGATATCCAATTTCAGCATAATTTTCGAATTCATCGAAAAAGCATACAGGTGGGAAAGAAATTGCTCATAGACTAACTAATTTATAAAAATTAAGTGGGAATTTGAAAAATTTTTTATGTAGGCTGTAGCTGAAGTAGGCAACTCACTGCAGTCTTTCGTCCCAATGATTGTCTACCATCGACATGTCTGGTGGAATTATGGCTACAAATTAACGCTTGAAGAAGGTATAAATTCTTTGCTGTAATAAAATATACGTCTAGTCGTGTTTGAAACAATCATCTTCTAAAATCCTTCGGTCTGCTATTTCTAGAATGGATTCTGAAATATAACAGTTCAAGTTAAGATTTTCCAAAAGCTTTCCAGTTGTAAAACTAATTATGTCAAAGTCTTTCTGACCAGAGATAAAATTATTGTAATACATTTCTCGGTCAATTAATTTTCACATAAACAACAGATGAATGTTTCTCGTTGCTGTTGAAGAGCCTTGGGCCTACAGCAAATCCGAAAAAAAGAGCACCACGAGGATCTGTTGGCAATAATTCTCCAAACAATCAAAAGCCACCGCCTGCATCTAATGTTCGTGTGACTTTAAGTGTAAAGAAAAACGAAAATTTCGAAGCAATTACTGAAGGTAAATATTTTATTGTTAATAATAAAAATGAAGAAACGAAATTCTGAAATGTCGAAAATAATTGAACTTTAGAAGAACTGATTGAGATTCCTCGTGGTGCTGGTTTCATCTGCTGTAATTTGATAAACCGATTAATTTTACAAGAACTGATTGAGAATCATGAATTTATTATTTTGCATATTTCGATGAATATCAATAAGAATTACTTCAATATCGAAGAACTTATTAAATCTCCCGCTGTACCACCAATAGAGTATATTCTTTCTACTGTTGAAAATTATTTAATTGCCTTTTATAAAATTTAAAAAAATGTAAACTGTTGCAAATTGCTTCACATCTGTTCAGACTGTTCGTCTGCATTAAGACAAGCTTCAAAAGATCATAATCCTTCTAATTATAAATTGAAGGAAGTGAAGAAATAAAAGAAAAATAAAATGTTCGGGAAGGCAGGTAAAGATGATTCTCTGATTAGATGCGACTTTTAATTAAGTGAAACCGTTTAATTATTAGGATATCAATGAATCCTGAAAATTATGATTTGCTAGAAACAGTTTTGGCATGTGAGCCGAGTCGCGATTCAGATTTCATTTTTACAAGAGGTAAGTAAGAATACCAATATCAATAGATTTAGGTGTGATATTTCTAGATTTCATAAAGCACAAGTTGAAGATATGAAATAATGGATAAATGAAGTGTTATATTTGATTGGTAATGAGTTAATTATCTGTTTTGGATTGATTCATTAGCAAATATTAATAAGTTGTAATATTTGAAGGAAGTGGTGCGAACAATGATGCAACGTCATACCATGTCCATCAGAGCATTTTTAAACAGCGGTCATTCATGCTAGAAAGTATTCTAAAAAAGAAATGTTCGCTTCCAACTGATCAATTACTTGTGGTTGATGCTGAAGATCGCATCATTTTTCCACATCTAACGGATGATGACATGAAATTTGTTGGTCTATTTCGAAATTATAGCTCATCATTTTTTGAGATTTAAAATGTTAAATTTTATTAATTCGTAACTCAAATCAAAAACTGCTTCAGTTGCTCATTTATTTATATACGGGTGAAGTAATTTTACCGAAATTTGATGCCTTCGCTCGAGTGGGTCGTGTTGTGTCGCTTCTGATTGACCGTGAACAACTAATCAATATTTTTATGCAGTGGCAGAAATTAATTGTGAAAAATCTTCTTCAAATCGAAGAAGTCTGTTTTTCTTTGTTCTTGCAGTTCTTTCAATTTAAAAATCAGTGAGTACAAGTTCACTTATTAAGTTGAATTTTTCTTTCACTTCATTTACATCATAAGTATATAAGTAACCTAATGTTTACTGTTATGGCGTAACTTATTGGTACCAAAATATCTTCGATGTTTAGTTTGCTGATTGCTTCATTAAACGACCTTTGCATTTTAAATGTGTGCGAAAAAAATTTTTCCATTTGGAATGAAAACATATTCCAGAAGAACAACAACGAACTTATTATTGAAGAAAGTCTCAAAGCACTGATATCAGTGTTCAGTGCGCCATATGGAGCGTTGCCGTACGCCAAGAGAATGGCACTTTCCTTACTTGCTGATCAGGTTGTTCAACTCTGATAACTTTTTTCTGATTAAAAGCCTGCATGGAACTACTGTCTATTTAGATAACGAAAAGCAATGGAAAATATAATGGACAGTTGCAGTATGGTCGATATCAGGTTGGACATTTCGTGGAAATTGCACTGAAGCTAAAACGTGTGATTACTTCGGTGAAGAAAACACCTGATCCTCTTTAAATTACTATAACTAGCATGCTTTTAAAATTATGTTGCCTCATTTCATTTCATAAATATTTTAACGTCAACTGCCATCGCTAGTAAACTATAAAAAATAAGTATCATAACACTGATATATATAATTTAGCGAGTTATCAGAATGTACAATTTAATGTAATTAGCTGGAAAGAAAAATTTTACTCGATGAGTTTCTTTATCTTTTTTCGCTGGAAATACTGGAACTAAATTTTTGGTGTGGTTACTAGACAAAAGTATTGAAGGAATTATCCTAGTTTAGAATAGAATTGTCTTTATGAAGATCAAAACATATATAGTCTACTGAAGCGTATTATGGAATTCATAAATAATACTAATTTCCACTTATCATTTGACGAAATCTGCATGTCATGAGAAATTAATAAATGAGATGGAAGAAATGGCAGCAGTCAGTTTCTTATTTTTATTAGCTCGCAGAGTGGCGCTGTTCAACAGAAAAAATGAAAATTTTTAATGAGGAAAATGAATCCAAAATTGTACAATTTCCGAATGGCAAAGTAAATGTTTGTTTTAGTCAGTCATTGTGAAAATGAATTTAGATGATAACCTTATGATTTTCCTTTCCCTCGTTCGGTTACGTCTGGAAGCATAGATAGGAGAAAATAAAATCCGAAATTTGAATTTTAAGATAGTTGGAGCACGATGGCTGGTAAGAAGAATTTTAGGGACTGGTGCTTATGGGGCAGTTTATGAGGTACAAAGCGTAACAAATCCTCTAATCAGTGGAGCACTCAAAGTAAGTAAAAAGTTTTCAGCCAAAATTTTCGTTCAAATCAAATTCCAATAAATCAGTACATTATAAATTGGTGGCTATTACTTTTTCTTACTTTTACTTTCTTTAAGATTAGTTAAAGAAAACTCGGGAGAAGTGCACGTCTTCGTTGACTTACTTTTCGAATTTCAATTCCCTAATTACTGGAAGCTTCAACGATAACTTTTTTTTTCGTGCAGGCTGAATCAAATTCTGCAACAGATAGTATTTTAAAACTGGAAGTTGAAGTATTAAAGCAACTACAAAGTCGTAAATATACCGTGCGTCTGTTGTATTCTGGTAAAAGAGAAACATATAGGTTAGGAAGTTATATTCGAAATTGTTTGCAAAACAAGTATTCATTATTTATTTGATGAAAATTGGATGAAAAAAATTTTTTAACTATCTTGTGACTTACAAAATTATAAATATGGAAAGATTCTTCATAACTCAACTCAAGCTAGGAGATTGATTCAATTGAAATAACTTAAGTTACATGGTAATGACATTATGCGGTCCGGATTTGCTTACCGTGAAAAACATGAAAAATTTGGTGACATTCAGCGAAAGTACCACACTTCGTATCGCTGTCCTAAGCTTATATGCTATTAAACAGGTATAAAATTATATTTAAAACTAAAAATATTTCTTATTGAAAAGACTGAAAGCGTAAAAAAAATTCCATGACCTCTCAGAAGAATTACATTTTCGTACTTTCGAAGGCTCTAATCGATCTTTTAACATCTAAATATTTCCGGGATGGATCTATAAGTTTAAATATTACAGTTACATGAAATTGGCTTTGTGCACCGCGATATAAAGCCTAGTAATATAGCAATATCACCATCTGCTAGTGTGCGGCACATTATGTATTTGCTTGACTATGGGATGGTTCGAAAATATGCCATTTACAGTAATAAGCAATGGTTTATCAGACAACCGAGAAAACGGGTTCACTCTTAAATTTAAAAAATACTAAACAATTTGAAACTTTTGAACAGGCTTGTTTTTTTAGGAAGAAACATCTTCTAATATCAATCCTTTAACATTGATATGAGGAAGAAAATGCTCTTTTCACCCTCTCTTTATGAGTAAATAAGTGTGAGAATTTTTTTTGAAATTGTTTTTCAGGTTTTACTTCGTGGAACATTGCGTTATTGTTCAGTGAATACTCATAAACGGAATGAACAGGTTTGAGAAATTAAGTTAAAATTAAAAGGAACTTTTAAATAACAGAGTAGCTGTATTCAAAAACAGATCAATTCGCTGAATGTTACAAATTTTAAATGTCACATTCTCGAACATATGTAAACTTAACACAATGTGTACAATTTTGTAGTCATATGAGCGGCACTTGAATCATTGCCACCATCGGTAACAAATTATAAATGAAAATAGAAGATACAATTTAGTTCATACATATGAAAAAATAAATAATAGTATAAAAAAATTGATGAATAAAAAGCCTCATCTTTGCTTTAGGGACGAGTTGATGACCTTTGGTCATTGATGTATATGTTAATTGAATTACGCTGCAATTATCTGCCATGGAGTAAAGCGACACGTGAAGATCGTATTCTGTATCTTAAAGAATCTATTCCCGACAAACAACTTCTATCAAACGGAAAGATGGAGTTTTATGAACGAATCTTAGCACATCTCCGTAAACTACGCTACCCGGATAGGCCCGATTATCATTACATGTACAAACTGGTACTGATGTATGATAGAATTCTGAACTTTGAACTGGCAAAAGTCAACTGAAATCAACATCAAATTCAATTTATATTTCAAGCTTTGGGATAGAAATCATCACAACAAATAAAAATTTACCAGATGGTATCACCAATGATAAGGAAACGATATTTGTTCAACGAACCATATGATTGGGAAGTTGTATCAGAAGGTGCAACACAAGAAGAATCGGAATCGATGAAAAAATCTTCTACATCTTCACCAAAATCAGTTAGTCCGATTGATGTAAAACGTAAGTCTTTTTATCGTTTTAATTTATGCCAAGTTTTTCATGCTGCAACATTTTCAGCTCATTAAAAATTTCCTGTCCCAATGTAAAAGAACGTTAGGAAAACTGCATCTAAATATGAAGTAATGAAAAAGGAAAGCTCATTCTGAATGATATGATGAAACAGTTAACTCTTGTATATGAATTTGAAAACCCATATTGATCACTCAGCGTACGATTACCTACGATTGTAAATACACTATCTAACCCTAACAATAAAATCGGATAATGCATTCGCAATTTTGCTGGATTCATTAGAATCCGAAGTTAAAGGCCCTATTCGATTGACTTCCTGATTAGAAGGCGTGAAAAATTACAAAATTATCTTACATTAATTAATCAAATATGACATATATCCTGTAACAAATTTTAGATTCAACCATTCCCTCTTAAAAGGAGTCCTACACTTAATCATATTACAGCTTCCAATTCGATCATTCCGGAAGATATACCAGTAGCACAAGAGCATGCATTTGATGAGGGTGAAAATGATGTGCCAGACATAATGAAAACCTCTTATCATGTTTATCACCGAAGGCAAGATCGTGGCCAACGTGCATCGCAAGATGAAAACAATGTACCAAATGAAGATTTACCGTAAATTCATTTTCAGGTTGGATGCAAAATTGTTGCAATTAGTTTAAGGAATAAATTTAATAGAATTCACTCCCATTACAAGGAATTGCTCTTGGAATTGTGAATCTGATCCACATGTGACAAAACGGCGCTCTGGAACTCCGAAATCAACATTAAATAACTCCGCCTTTGTTCACAGAAGTGAAAATAGAATGAAAACATTTAGTGATATACAACCATACTTTATCCAATGGATTATTCTCATCACATTAACAAATATAATTAGAATCTTGTAAGACCGCAAACTACTAGGGAAACCTCAATAAACCCACATAACCAAGACCTAACAAAGAGTTTGCGGAAGACTGCGATTTCATGAATTTACCCGACATGTCCAAAAATATCAAACTCCGAAGAAGACAAATTCAAGCTGATGTTCCCAACCCAAATATTAAAAATAAAAACTAACCTTATATTTTACTTTTGTTTAAAACATCGTGTTTTTAAATGATACAACATTTTTATTTCAACAAATTTTTTGTAGACAAAGCAGTGCACTATTTATAACTAACAACACGAATATTTATACATTACAACAATACTGCAAAACGCGACACAATACCTTTATTGGACAACATAACGCAATCGCATCAAAGTTACACCATATGTAGAGATTTTCAAAAAGCATAAAATCTGGAGAGCTTCACATCATCGCAATCCAAAAAAATTATAAAGAAACCATTATAACAATTATGTCGTCAAACTAAACATAACAGACAACTAAGACAAACACAACTCGTCGCAAACTAAATGCATTTTTATACATCAATGTAACAAAACAGCTAGATAACTTCAACGAATATAGAAATGGAATTTTTTATAATGCTTTCACTATGTTTCAAAATTCTTGCAAGACATTAGGAACTCAAGCTTATTATTTATACTACATAAGATGGTGAATAAAAAAAGAAAACAGAAAATTGAACTATAATAAATCATATAGATATTTTCAAATCAAGAATAAAATTTGAATAAAAAGCAAAATAGCATGAAGTTTCGAAATATTATATATTTTCCTCAGCAGTACGAGCCTCTTCTAGGATTTTATCGAATGAAAATGGAACAAAAGCATAACCAAGTCCTTTGTAGAATTTGCTTTGAAATTCAACCCTGCAAAATGAAAGAAGTACTGAGATCAATAACAAACTTTCTTAAATTGATAATCTTCCATAGACTGAGACATTACATAAAATTAGTTACTAATAGCACCCAAATTATTATTACATTCACAAGCTGCAACCTCCGACCAACAATTATGCTGTGCAAAGTACGTTTTAAGTATATTTCAAAATAAGATATGAAAAACACACCAATGAAGACGAAGAGCATGTAGAAAAGCGCTGAGACCCTCCATCATGACTAAAATTGAAAATGAAAGAGAAGCAAATAGAAAAAAGAGAACATATGTCGCTACTGCTCCCATATAACCATTTAGCATAAAAGCCTGACGGAAAACCATGGTCCATAATACGTCCGATAATTCTAAAGATACAAAACATCACTAATATATTAGCAAGATTATTTGTCAATAATTAAAACTCAAATTCCATCTTTTGCAGATAATACAATACTCACACTAAAAATTCACTACCACTTATCCTCCTTGGACCTTTTAAAATACTCACTACCTTTCTTCTCGAAGACTGCTAAAATGTGCATTTTTCTAAAACATTTGCTAAAATGCAATTTCTAACAAAATATGAGCTTAACATACAAAGGAAAGAATAATCAATAGATAATTCATAACTTACGAGCATGAGCAAGCGAAAGTGCCCAAAGGCGAAGATATGAAGCAGTGTGCGATATGCAACCCAGAGCAAATTCAATAGTATGAATAGCTTGATAAATCATAACATCAGCAAAATCGAACTAAAACACAAAGTAATGCCCTTTTCTGAATATATCCTATATCCTTTTAAAAAGTAAAACTAAACATGAACGCACTTTTTCCTCAATATGAGTGGTCGATGATCTCGATAAATCATTGTGGATTATGTGTGCATCATCACCATTCGATTCAGCACGAACACTCTAAACAAATAAAAAATGTAATAAAGTTCTAAAAATTCTATGAAGATAAACAAGACAGTTCAGAAATATTAGCCGAAGGACGGAAACAAACGAGTATAGCGATTAAAAATTTACAATGAGGATAATGTGTTCTGTATTATGAATGTCTAGAATATTTATTATGCTTCCCTCCATTTGACCACAAAATGATAAAAAATAATTTCGTGTAGTACTGTAGTGCTGAAAACGATCCAAGTGCCGCTCAACTCTATGTAACTGAACGCGCTCCAATGTTCAGTTTCCCACTGCACCAAGAATTTTGAAATTTGAATTAATTCACCAGAAATTTGAAATTCTAATTAAAGAAAAAGGAAGTAATTTTTCTTTAAAAATGATCAACGAATGATCGATTGGTGGACTGGCTGCTATGTTACAGGAAATATAACTAATTACAGTGCGTACAATTTTGCAGTCATACAAGCGGCAATTGAATCATTGCCACCATTGGGCCAATTCTAGGGTCATTTCGATTACACTTTAAAAACATATGCAGCAAAAACATAAGCCTATGTTACTAAATTTGAGTACCAACAATAACAATTACTAGTCTAAACGAGATAAAAAGCAAGTTCTACCGAATACATAGTTAAAAGTTTTGGATTATAAAGCGTTCTCAAAGTTTTTTTGGATTTTAATTCCAACCCTAAAAAATAATCATTTCGAAGCACTGACATACAAAACTTTTAGCCGATCCAGATAGTACTTGCGTTTAGATATGTTCAATACAGAAATTTTCAAACCAAGTTAGAACTTCCTAAGGTGGCTCGCTCTTTGAACTCCTTCCACTGCATATACGGCTTACCAAATAACATAATCGGGATGCACACTGTCGCAATAAGCACAAATAATGTTTCAAAAAATGACTAAAACTATTGAAATTGCAACTATATAGAAAACAAGTTAATCAAATCTTCAAAAGTTCGTTACGATATTCTACAAATAAAAAATAAGTAAATAAATGTTACAACGTGCACTGTACAGAACATTCCTTTATTTGACATATCTAATCAACTCTTATATTTAGAAGAGAATTTCAAAATGAACGTTCAAAATAATTTATTGAAGTGGATAAAAAAATCAGAAAGCTAACCTGACCCGGATACCAAAGATTCAGATAACACTGCGGATACACATTTCCTTTAGGATCAAGAAATCCAGATGGGCGATACTTCATCATAAACATGCTAATAAACCCTATCAACAACGATGGGGCACAATTAGACGATGGATATTCATAACCCAAAACATAACCACTCTGCAATAATCGCATACAAAAGAAATCGTAAAAACAAAAGCTGGTATGGCATATTGGGATTACGGAAGTCCGGAATAATTTTTGCAGATATCGGCATATAAAAAAAAATTACATATCCAAACAACAACTGGAGCATTATATATAACCTACCAATTTTTTTAATGCATATAATTAGAAACAACGGGTGCAAACATTAAATCTAATAATTGCTATCTCCATTACTTCATTTGAAACGGACAGTTCCTAGGCAATGATTTCAAGCAAGTTTTAATAAGTAAGCAATCAAAGAGGATAGCAAGTATCTCAATCCTCACAAGTTTTACAATTTTCTTTTACTTTTTTAATTTTATTAGTCCAGCAACATGTGCTGTGTTATCAAGTTCGTTTGAATTCTAAAAAACTGAATGCTTACCTTAGCAGAGAAAAGCAGCCACTTGAAGAGAATTTCTAAACAAAGGTAAATGAAAATACAGCCAAGGAATAGCATTTGTGGGATAAACATATATAGGATATCTAGACGAGAACCAAAGTATCTACAATTAATAGTAAGTCAGATCACTTCTATTTTGAAAGTCGTGTAAAGAAAGTCGAAATGGGTTTGCAACAGTTCCTGATTCAGCACATCCACGATATCCTAGATTCTTACAAGGAGAGTGGAGAAAGCAAGAGACGCCTCAAAAGCTTTTTAAGCCATAAGAAACAGGAAATTTGAACAGTCATCCTCCGTAAAAAAAAGTTATTTAATCATACACTTACTTGTAATTCTCATAACTCAACATGACACCAAATGTCATTTGCGCAACACCAATTATGATAGACATTTTCATTTTCATCGAGTTTAAAAAATTCAATTTGTTGCTCTCCGCAAGATTCCAAATTGGATCAACACCTATAGGATAAGGGCCAATTGACTGAAATAGATAAATAAGTTGCAGTAACGCAATAGGATTACCAAAGAAAGTGACTATGTAAACTACGATTGAATCTAAAAAGGAGTCAAGAAAAAACGAAGAGAATATCCAAAGATGTCCAACCAAATTGTAATAAGCCCACTGTGGTGTAAGCATAAGTTCCTTCTCAGACTCATATTTACTTAAATCCGCGTAGATATTTCTCCATGAACTTCCGAATAAATTGAATGATTTGCTGTATGCATCGTTATAGATGAATCCCGTGTATACGGAAAAGCAACCCATCAGAAATATCACATAACGACCGTTAAAAAATGTTTGGAAAATCTGCAAGTTACTTAAAATAAGCATTACTAATAAATTTTCACGAAACGAAAATTTGGCGAAAAAAAAAACGCTCTATGGCAGTGGAAATATTTGCCTCGCTTAACAAGCGACCTTACAACTGCAACCGACTATGAGTTCGCCTTAATTTCTCAATCCTGTATCTCGTGATTTCATATTAAAATAAGATTTATAAACCTCATCATTTATTCGAGCTGCTTCTAAATGCTTTTCTCGATATATAAAAAAGAGAGCGCATAAAAGCATAATGAGTCCATGGCCGCAGTCACCAAACATAACAGCGAAAATAAACGGGAATGTGATCATTGTGTAAGGAGCTATAAGTAATTTTTTAACACAACTTTCATTAGCAAGGAAACTTTTTTTTTTTTAAAAAAAAAAACTGTTTTTTGAAAGCTTGAAAAAAGAAAAATCAGTTATCAAAAAGATTCATTTTCTAGAGTTTACAGTTTCAAATTCTTGATTGTACACATTTTCCACGCAAGGAAATTTCAGAAGACCAATGCCTTCACAACTTGCAAAAACATTATACCCGGATTTATTTCTCGATACGATGCAATGCCATACGCATCGACAATGTTTTGGAAACCACGCGTGAATTTGTTAACACGATGAAAAGTTGGAGGTGCTTCCGTTATACCTGACATACGATTTAGAATTGATGGTACTGTACTTCCTGATTCTTCCTAAAACTAAAACATTTAAAACTTTAAAATTCATAACTATCACGTAATGATGACTGAAAAAAATAAAACAGTATCCTAGAAATTTTAATCTGTTGAAAACTTCGAATTTAATGGAACACATATATAAACAGGAAAACATATAAACAAAGTGGCTTAACCAACCGTTCCCCTTTTGAGTGCCAGTTGGATGCGATTTAAATCAGCTACCGGACACCAACATTCAGCAATCAGACATTTCTGGGTGACATCCAAATTGAACAAATTCAATGTATGATAAATAGATTTGATTTTACGCACTTTTGTTAACCACATACGTACATTTTTCGATGCAGCAACCTGAAACAGGTTGAGGAAGGTCATATGTAGAAATGTACGGCATTTATCAGTTTCAAAAATCTTCTAGCTGAGTTCGGAGACTCTGACTTCAAATATCAAAGAAGTTTGAAAATTAATTAAGTTGCCAAGGAATGAAAGTAACCAGAACACGATGTCGATGGTCTTGTGTTTGTCCTAAAACAGTTTTCAGATCTTCAATACGAGTCATCACCCCTATTGACATTTCTCGTCGTTCTTGAGGAGTGTCCGGACACGGATAAAGAGTTGCTCGAAAGCTGGAATACATAAAATTCATGTGTAGCAAACAGACAATAAATGATTCAGTGTTTAACAAACAAAAAAAGTGTACCCTTCGCAAATTTTTTTAACACGAGTTTTCAACTGATCACCTTGGAAAAATATAATAAACACTGTATTGATAATTGGGTCTCCCTGAAAAAGTCCATATTTTTTTAGTGTTATACATTAAAGACTTAGTTGAAGATATGCATAGGTAAGTAACCACAGATAAGTAACGATTATAACATTTTAAGGTAAGAAATCTGCTAAATTATACAAGCAATACCATTGCCTGGTTAGGAAAGACTATAGGGGAATTTATTACTTAAATAGATATTTATAGAACAATATCTGTTATGCAAGATGGCAGAATACGGAAATAATGATTCACAGTGGTAGTGTCGATAAGTGGTTCGGCTATTTCAGACTGCCGCAAGAAGACATTGCCACGACAAGCACGCCATAGCAGTCGTTCAAATGCTGGAAGCCGCTCTCTCTCAATGACACCAGCAACAAAACTACAATAGAAAATTTTTAATTTATAGTAACATTGAAGTGACCTATCAAAACGAAAAGTTCACAATTTCATTAACTAATTTGTGTATGCAAAAAACTTTTACTTTAAAAGAAAATATTGTTCTGGAAATGATCCACAATAACTGTATTGTTTGCCTTACAAAATCTAGAAAACATGCAAAATTTATGTCACAATACTCATGTATCTTCTAGATCACAATACTCATGTATCTTCTAGATAGGCTGTACCGTCAAAATTTTAAGATTAAAGAAAAATAATAAAAACTAAACAAAAAAAAGGGAAAAACACGAAAACGGTTGAAAAGAAAACTGTGGTTGAGACAATGTACAAAATCTGGTTTAAAGTTCGCCTCTTTTCAGATGAACTAAATATCAGGTTATAATGGGAAACATGAAACAGTCAAGTAATTACAAACAGAGAACTTGACAAAACGTTATAACAATTAAAAAGCAAAAAATCAAGTTATAATTTCAAAAGAATTCTAGATAAATTGTTTAGATAATAAAAACTTCGAATTTAATTTTGAATTTTGTAAAATCTATTTTTAAAAGTTTCTTTTGAAAATTCGACGTAATATTAAAAACTGAGTTAGTAAGGGAGCGTGGAACACTATTAGATAGAGCTTTTAAAGTCCAGAAGCAAATTTAAAAAAAATAGAAACTGTTAGTTTAGACAAATAACAATTCACCAAGTCATACAAAGAAGTCCATTTTCGAGGACTTAATCTGTCCTATTTCAGCCGTTAGAATGAATATTGTCAATGATTTAGAAAGATATATAAAAAACGAAAGATAGATCCATTTATAAAAATAAGGATATGGAACTTATACGTCTGAGTTTTTAACTGCGTTCTTTGAAGAGTCTGAATGACTTGGTTAAAATTAGGAGGGACAAAATAATTTAAGACAAATGTTCGGTATATAAACGGCACACTGCATATGGTTTAACTGCACGTATGAAGCAAAAAAGAGAACAAGAGACATACCCAAAATTAGCAAACATTTGGCCAGTGACTCCGGCACCGGATAACTCGATGCCTATTCCCTCAGTTTCTTGCAGAACGATTTGTTCTGGAAGACCGGTAGCAACTGGCGCATTTGGTGGCACGATTGTTTCCGCTCCAGCCTAACAGAAGCAACAGAACTAATTGCTGCACAACAAACAATCCGATTTATTCTTAAACTGTTGAAACTAACGAGAAATCTTTTAATTTTAGAGAGAGGAGACAAAGTGCCAAAGATTTTTAGAGATTTAAGACATTTATCTCTGATACGATGACCTTCGAACCCGAGAAGCACAGTCACAGCAATTCAAGAAGGTTTTTCGGTACTTTATGTCATAACTTAATAACGGAAATGATGATGGACGACAGTTCAAACAGTCTGCTGGAACAAAGAAATTCCACTTTTCATCATTATGAATCAGCGATTAACTAAGCGCAATCAAATATAATTGATTTAGGCCTACTGTTCCAAAAAAATTATGTTTAGAAAAGCAAACCGACAAAATTAAGCAACATATTGAATGATGGCAATAAAAAAATTCAGAACAATTCAATTAAAGTCTTCTCATGAGAATATTAGTTTCTTGAAAATTTATTTTTTGTAATTAATTCCTTTTGTTGCAAAGTAGGAATTAAGTAATCCATACATTATTCGTTCATAAAAGCATGCAATCAGAAAATCCAATAAAACACAGTTTTATAGCTTAGGTGACATTATATTGACATTCTGAACGAAAACACAACTCATTTGTTACAGTATACAACTATTCATGCTTCTAACCATGCAAACATAAATATGATTGTAGATAAAAATGCAAACATTGAAAGACAGATCATAACATTACAGAAGTAACGAACACAACTTTATACTTACCCCAAACGCAAAGTAACTGCCATGCTTCGCGATTCGCTCAAAAGGCTTTGCTCCTCTTCACGAATAAAACAACGTTGATTCTCCTCTCGTTTTGCATACGGCCATCTACCATATTCCACCTGCATCGTTCAGAAAACCCATACTGTGTAATAAAAAAAGCAAAAGACTTTTCAAAACAATAAACAGGTGCTATTAAAGACAATTTATTTTAAGCTTTTTTATACGCAAACATAAAATAAGTCTTGATAAAATGGTTACTAGATGAAATGCTTTTCCTGAAATACAGCAAACACAGTTAACACTTTGTCAAAAAATCGATAGTTCGTATTCCTTATTACTCACTGTTATTGATGAGGATCAATAACGAAAAGAAGGATCACTTCAATTGGTGCTAATTAATATCTTACGAAATGACTATGTTGAAGAGCCAATAAGTTCAGAAACGATGAAATTTACTTTATGAGACAAATCAGTGGTGAGAAAAGCAGATGAGGTCAGGCCGTTTTAAAGTTAGCATTTGATTAGTGAAGCTCTCGACCAATAAAACTACTAAATCCACTCAAGTATCACAAAAGCGGAACATTATCAACTGCGTATAACTACGTAGATGTAGAGGAAAATCGGGAAATGAATACTGATGTCACAGAGTAACATACTGCTTCTACGAATCCTCAGATATAACTTTTCTGAGACATTCCAAAATGGACCGGATTAAGTGGTCATTTCAATGTAAAGGGGAGGTTGGCCAAACCATCCAAACTCGACTGCCAAATAAAAATAAACAGATAATATAAATTCCAGAAAAAGCATTTCGAAAAAAAAAAAAAAAACACCAAAATTAAAATTATGTTAATGAAAATATCACACAAATGTTAGAATTAATTCCAATAATGTCAGAAACTCCGATTACATCTAATAACATCAAAATCTCAGACAAAAAACCGCACAAAATAACTACCGCAAAACAGAAATGTGCAAAGCCACGTCTAGCATTCCTCAATGATTCATTGAATGTGAACTGATAGTTACAAAGTTCAGATCGCCTAAGACCAAACTCATCGAGTTCGAAGGATTCAGCGATTTTATAGAAATTTACAAATTCTAAAGCTCTGCTTTAGCTTTTCAGTAAATTTATTTCCATTCTTATCCTACCATTCACATTGCATTATTTCCTATGAGGCATAACCTCCTACTGCAAGATTAACGTCAAGTTTACTTGGATAATACACTAACGCGGTTAATTTCATCATGTATAATTCGTGAAATCTATTTCATTAATAATTAACCTGTTCCAACTCAATTTACGGCTTTTGTTGACCTACTTCTTACCTAATCACATAGGCATTTTTTTAATTAATAGATGCAGCTGAAATGTCTTCCTATTTTTTAAATATTAATCCACTTACTTATATTCGAATTAACTTAACCCCACCTATGAATAAAATGACGGCTTGTAATAATACCTCTTCGAAGAACTGTTGTGTTTTTCGAAGAATGTGTTTTAGTTCCGTTAATTCCGAGAAGTTTTTCTTCAGCATTTCTTCATTTTGATTAACCTCTTGTAATTCAGTTTCTAACTTGTCGAATGTTGCCTACAACAATCAATAACTGGAAATCCGTCGAATGTAACAGCTTTAATCTAACAGTGTGATAGAAGTTGTTTCTTCTCTACTGTGAATTTGCATATTATTTATTATACCACCCACTTCTAAATCAATCATCTCTTTCGGTTGTGGAGCATCTGGATTTTCGCCTGTATCCAGCATTGGTATTAAGTCTTTTTTGATTTCACGCTCCAAAAACCCTAAAAAGAAATTTACTATATCATTTCTCAATAGGTGTTGTAATATTAACCACTTCACGTTTTAATGTTTTCTGCTGAATACATTTACGACAAATACATAATATATATAATAGGGAAGTGCAAATAAAGAGTGAAAAGTATAGTGTAGGGTATAGACAGCTACTGGAGCTGTAAATTCTAAAATATATTTCACTTCAAAAACTACTAACATACTTAATTTTCGTTCCATTTCATCACATCTTCGCACTTCATTCACAAATTTCCGTTGGAAAGCACTTACATCTGGATTGAGCTGAAATGATAAGTGTAATCAACGTTATCATCGTCCTAATAAACAAAACGCAGCTATCAAACATTGCTAAACACTAATTGCCGAATACAAAAATCGGAACAATCATGCGAATCGCAAGTGGTGTTAACCATGAATAAAATCAAACTTACATCACGAAACTGCACAAGACCCAATTCTCCTAGCTCTGCGACGCAAGTATACGCAGCTTCCGTTTGCAGAAACAACTGTGCTAAGCACATTTCTTCACTTCGATAAAGCGATTCCATCTTAGAGCGATTTTAAAATGCTGAAATTTTTTCATAAGTATATGCTTGTTCAATTCAACAATTACAACCGCAAAATATTTCGTATTGTTAGAGGAAAAAGAAGAAGGAAATCATAGTTGAACTGAATGTAGACAGGAAAAAATAAAACTGCACTGATAACGATAACTCCTTTTTTTCCTAACACTTCATCCCCGAAGTCACGTAACACGTCAGCAAAGAAACCACTGTTCAATAACGAACCAGCACCCCGATGAAAATTTCAGAAACCCAGCAAGGGAATAGTTAGTACCTTGTCTTTTCTAATGATGTTAGGATATTCCTTTCCAGCTTAAAATTTGTCGAATTTTAGGTATTTCTTTGGGTACTTTTTGAACTGCTACAATTCAGAATCTCACGTTTCTTTACATATTTGAAGTGACACAAAAAATATCTGTGACATTTGAAGGTCCAACAATAATAAAAAATTATAACTTTGACTTCTATGAAAGTACAGTATGAGATTTGGATATTTTAGGCGATATAGTTTTAGGATTTTCTTGCGTAGATTACTTTGTGTACGTAGGTGGTTTTGTGAATTAAATGGACAAGTAATTTGGGAGTATTTGGAATAACTCGGAAATAAAAACAGGACAAAGTATCGATTTTATGGGGAAGTGCATTAGAAGAAACACAGCTATTGGCTAAAATCGTCTGTAATACTTCGATATTAAGTAAGGCAAGTGTGTTTTGACATAGTCGATAAAGAAATGCCTTGCTTTAAGGCCTTTGAGTGTGCGTACAGGCTCGTTCTATAAATAAATTCTAAGGTAAACTCATTTCAATCGATTGGAGCAGATATGAAGAATCGAACTCACAGCTCGAAATGCATTATCTGAGCTTAGCAAAAGTTCAGTTATAGGTATAAAGCGTTTGGGAATTTTGAAAGAATGGGAAAAAATTACACTCGAAAATTTATTTTTTAAATAACTGGCGAAATTTTTCCACAATTTTTGTCAGCCTGAATTGGTTTTTTTTTTTTAGAAACCAGCTTTTCAGCGAATTTGAATGCAGCAACGTGATCGAATCCAATTCTTTTAAATTCAGTTTGATTCATTTCAAATCTATTTCACCACACTTTCTGAATTAAGGCAATACTGAAAACAATTAAATGGATTAAAAAAAAATCTCATTTAATTGAATCAAAGAGCCATTTGGTCCAGTTCTAATCTACTTTATTAGTTCTTCTGCTTCATCTTGCGATAATTTCTAATAGTCTATGAGGATTTTTACAGGAGATTCTTGAAAATATTTTGTAAAAATTTATGTTATCAGTGTCATTAATTCTTTTCTGAGAAGGAATTGAAATATTTTGATGTAATAAAAGAAAGACAGATCAATAGAACTGATTTAGAAGTGGATTAAATTATATCCAAAATTATTTTTTTCGTTTAAGATGAAAACTGAGACCAAATTGCCTCCTAAATGGATAAAAAATTACTAAGCTGAGAAATTTTTTTTTTTTCTTTTTTGTTAGTCGATGACCTGATTGACGAATGAATCAAATAACTGTTGTTTCTTTTTCGATTACTGAATTGAACTGTTCTTAAGCAATCAATAATTATGATATGATTTTTATATTTGGAACAGAAAGACTTAAATTCTAGCATGGGCGTTTTTGTAATGATAAAACTTTTCACCAAATTTAAATTTTAAGAAATATTGCTGATTCCGAAAGCGGACACGAATATACTTCTTTCTAGTCGCCAAAAGGCACTACTATTTTAAAACTTATTTCAATTCTAAAATGTTAAGTGACTTCAATCCACTCAGTGAGTAAATTTTGACGTCAACAAAATTTCGTAACAAAATACCAGGTCAACAGCTGAATGATGAAATGTTGAAATATTAATGTCTGGTGGATACGTGGCACTGCGACTCCTTCATGTGTTTAGATTGAGAAAAGATAGTTTCTTTAATAGATGTGGCAGAGTGCGTCAGATTGTGTGTATGTGTGTACGTCAGTTTCATTACTCTTTCTTCGCCATTCTCATACATTCAACTTTAAAGAAGGTGTGCATACTCTCGAGAAGACGTATAAACCAGACAGACACGAACACGCACATACATACAAAAATAAGTAGATTAGATAGATTAGATAGATAGATAGATAGATAGATAGATAGATAGATAGATAGATAGATAGATAGATAGATAGATAGATAGATAGATAGATAGATAGATAGATAGATAGATAGATAGATAGATAGATAGATAGATAGATAGATAGATAGATAGATAGATAGATAGATAGATAGATAGATAGATAGATAGATAGATAGATAGATAGATAGATAGATAGATAGATAGATAGATAGATAGATAGATAGATAGATAGATAGATAGATAGATAGATAGATAGATAGATAGATAGATAGATAGATAGATAGATAGATAGATAGATAGATAGATAGATAGATAGATAGATAGATAGATAGATAGATAGATAGATAGATAGATAGATAGATAGATAGATAGATAGATAGATAGATAGATAGATAGATAGATAGATAGATAGATAGATAGATAGATAGATAGATAGATAGATAGATAGATAGATAGATAGATAGATAGATAGATAGATAGATAGATAGATAGATAGATAGATAGATAGATAGATAGATAGATAGATAGATAGATAGATAGATAGATAGATAGATAGATAGATAGATAGATAGATAGATAGATAGATAGATAGATAGATAGATAGATAGATAGATAGATAGATAGATAGATAGATAGATAGATAGATAGATAGATAGATAGATAGATAGATAGATAGATAGATAGATAGATAGATAGATAGATAGATAGATAGATAGATAGATAGATAGATAGATAGATAGATAGATAGATAGATAGATAGATAGATAGATAGATAGATAGATAGATAGATAGATAGATAGATAGATAGATAGATAGATAGATAGATAGATAGATAGATAGATAGATAGATAGATAGATAGATAGATAGATAGATAGATAGATAGATAGATAGATAGATAGATAGATAGATAGATAGATAGATAGATAGATAGATAGATAGATAGATAGATAGATAGATAGATAGATAGATAGATAGATAGATAGATAGATAGATAGATAGATAGATAGATAGATAGATAGATAGATAGATAGATAGATAGATAGATAGATAGATAGATAGATAGATAGATAGATAGATAGATAGATAGATAGATAGATAGATAGATAGATAGATAGATAGATAGATAGATAGATAGATAGATAGATAGATAGATAGATAGATAGATAGATAGATAGATAGATAGATAGATAGATAGATAGATAGATAGATAGATAGATAGATAGATAGATAGATAGATAGATAGATAGATAGATAGATAGATAGATAGATAGATAGATAGATAGATAGATAGATAGATAGATAGATAGATAGATAGATAGATAGATAGATAGATAGATAGATAGATAGATAGATAGATAGATAGATAGATAGATAGATAGATAGATAGATAGATAGATAGATAGATAGATAGATAGATAGATAGATAGATAGATAGATAGATAGATAGATAGATAGATAGATAGATAGATAGATAGATAGATAGATAGATAGATAGATAGATAGATAGATAGATAGATAGATAGATAGATAGATAGATAGATAGATAGATAGATAGATAGATAGATAGATAGATAGATAGATAGATAGATAGATAGATAGATAGATAGATAGATAGATAGATAGATAGATAGATAGATAGATAGATAGATAGATAGATAGATAGATAGATAGATAGATAGATAGATAGATAGATAGATAGATAGATAGATAGATAGATAGATAGATAGATAGATAGATAGATAGATAGATAGATAGATAGATAGATAGATAGATAGATAGATAGATAGATAGATAGATAGATAGATAGATAGATAGATAGATAGATAGATAGATAGATAGATAGATAGATAGATAGATAGATAGATAGATAGATAGATAGATAGATAGATAGATAGATAGATAGATAGATAGATAGATAGATAGATAGATAGATAGATAGATAGATAGATAGATAGATAGATAGATAGATAGATAGATAGATAGATAGATAGATAGATAGATAGATAGATAGATAGATAGATAGATAGATAGATAGATAGATAGATAGATAGATAGATAGATAGATAGATAGATAGATAGATAGATAGATAGATAGATAGATAGATAGATAGATAGATAGATAGATAGATAGATAGATAGATAGATAGATAGATAGATAGATAGATAGATAGATAGATAGATAGATAGATAGATAGATAGATAGATAGATAGATAGATAGATAGATAGATAGATAGATAGATAGATAGATAGATAGATAGATAGATAGATAGATAGATAGATAGATAGATAGATAGATAGATAGATAGATAGATAGATAGATAGATAGATAGATAGATAGATAGATAGATAGATAGATAGATAGATAGATAGATAGATAGATAGATAGATAGATAGATAGATAGATAGATAGATAGATAGATAGATAGATAGATAGATAGATAGATAGATAGATAGATAGATAGATAGATAGATAGATAGATAGATAGATAGATAGATAGATAGATAGATAGATAGATAGATAGATAGATAGATAGATAGATAGATAGATAGATAGATAGATAGATAGATAGATAGATAGATAGATAGATAGATAGATAGATAGATAGATAGATAGATAGATAGATAGATAGATAGATAGATAGATAGATAGATAGATAGATAGATAGATAGATAGATAGATAGATAGATAGATAGATAGATAGATAGATAGATAGATAGATAGATAGATAGATAGATAGATAGATAGATAGATAGATAGATAGATAGATAGATAGATAGATAGATAGATAGATAGATAGATAGATAGATAGATAGATAGATAGATAGATAGATAGATAGATAGATAGATAGATAGAT